AGGGAAAGGAGATACCTAGGAGTGATTTGAGGGGGCGTGTTGTCCGTGGTGGCTTTTTGTATCTTTGATGTTTTGCTGATGGTTGTGTGTGGCAGGAGTGATAATTCACCTGAATGTTTGTGATGCTGAACCTGATAAAATTATAGTATTTTATTAATGTGGGACTAGGACTGCTTGAAATTCATTTTTGTTACTATTAACTAGGAAGACAAAGCTTATTTAATCATTTAGGTAGATAATCTTTGGGGGGTTCTGGAGGCAAAAGCAAATCACAGTACAGTGAGGAAAACAAACCCGAAGCCACAGTGCCTAGCCTGAGTCCCATACGGGAAAATGGAATCTGTGGTGTGGACCGTTTCCTGTAGGATTTGAGGCTAATAAAGATCGCGGTAGTACTCGTGCTGTATGCGTTAAACCGTCTGATAGTGTGAAATATCTCTCTGGAATCTAAAACTCTATGCTCTCCACATCTTTTATTGTAGTTTTGGGAATCCCCAAAACCACTCCAGGTGGTTTTTCCTTGAGTGACTGATGCATTTTAATTCCCAACTAGCTCTTTGAAAGAACCCTTTTATTCCTAAGTAGAAAGCTGATGTTCTGTTTTGTAAGGCTTTGTGCTGTAGAATTGAAAGTTATATTTGGAAGGTCTACACAGGGATTTTCTTTCTGGAAAGGTCATTGTCTGCTGTCATCATTACTTTAGAATAGATTTTTACAATACCAGAATTAGAACTAGATTTTTATATCAGCGAAAGTTACTTATATGTTTCTACTTTAAAAAAATTTTCCCTCTAATAGTTTCTATTTTAGGTATTCATGAAAGTCATTATTCAGGGGTTTCATATCTATGTATTTTGCTGATTTTTACAGTGACCAGGGTTCATTTCAGGAGTCCGAATGGGATCTAAATAGCCTCATTGATTTATAAATGAGTAGAAATAGGTACGGACAACATTCTCTCATATTTAAAGACTTTAAAGTGCCGGTGGCTTCCAGTTTTGCCTGCAGTTCCAATAGAGGGGTGTTTCTTTAAACCATAGTCCTTCCTCAGCCTTTGTCCTATGGTAGCTGCCCAGGCTCTTTCCTAGCTCTACAGTGATAGTTTACTGCAGCATTAAAGGAGGACTATCTTAAAGAGAGCGGCCAGAGAACTACAGTTACCTTCTTAGTTTGTTAAAGGACCACGTTCCCTCTTTGTTGCCCCTGATTTTTCTCTTTTTAAAGTTGTTGCCTTTTTCCTAAAGTGGTAGTCTGTGGACCACTCAGAAGTTAAAACTGCCTCTACACTTGGTAAGGCTGGGTTCTTTCCTTTAATCATAGCATATTTTGGAATGTAACTGATAAATTTGATTGGAATCACCAAAGTCATATTTTTATCCTGATTAATTGCCGGATCATATGTCCCTAACCAGCCAGTTTTTTCAAGCTATAAGTCCCTTTTGCAAGGGCTAATGGTAAACCTTGCTATATTTTCCAAGCCAAGAGACCATCGGATAGGCATATGTGTTTAGAGTATCCTGGCCTCTTCTCAATGGGGCCTGTCACTGTCCTTTAATTGGGCTAGAAGGTACACTAAGCTTTTTCAGATAGTCCTTCTTTAAACCTGCAGGATCACAAGTAATCTTTTTAATTTTCTTGTGTCCGTCCGTCTTTAATTTCTCCAGATACTGCAGGCAAACAGCTCGCCGAGGTGTCCCATGGGGGTTTAAAAGCCGCATCGAATGCAGTTGAATTAGCGCCCGTGGCGCAATCCCGCGGCCTGAAATGAACCCTGCGAGGCTGTGTATCAGAGGGTATGTTGTTAACTATTAGCCTATTTTCCTATTGGGCAAATATTTCAGACGTTATGGAGATGGGGGCAGAGCTGACTGAGACGGTGCAAAGACTGGCTTTCCTAGAAAGGATCTTTGGGGCAGACGTCAGCTTTGAGCTAACACTTCCCTTGGCCCAGAAGAGTGCTATCCTTACTTCTGATCCTGATGGCATAGGCCCTGCCATGAAATGTTCTTCCCTGAGATTTTCTTCTGTTGTGCCAGAATTTTTATTTAGAAATCTTTATCTTGCCTCTGTTCACAATGTTTCATCTGTACATGTGTATTAATCTAAAATTCAAGCACATGTGGTGAGTGTGGCCTTCACTTACTTGTTTATGGAATTTTCCAGCAGAGGTCTTAATGTAGTTTGGATGGACAAGTAACTGGGTTCTTGAAGTCTTTCTGTCTTCAGAATGGATTACGACATGAATTTCTATAGGTCTTTTGTTTGGCGTCTGATTTCTATCCTGATGTAATGCACATATACCTATGTTTGTGACAGAGTATTCAGAAATAAATAAAACCAAGGAGCAGCCTTTTTTTCTGAAGAACAGTGATCTTTATTTGGGGTGGCGGTAGAGTAGTTAGAGTGGTCTGGTGTTCTTGGAAACTTTTTTTTTCTTAGATGCAGAAAAACATGGAGTAGTATCCCTTCCACAATGGCACTAACCAAATTTTTGACTGATGTGGTGTAACCAAACCTCCAGTCCTGTTGAATTGAAAAATGTAACTGCTAAGAGAAAGTCTGTGATGCCAGCAGTAGCTGGGTATTCGGAGTAATATTAATAAAGAAGACATTTGACTCGGATATAGGAAAGAAGAAAAATAACATTTTAAAAAGCTCATATTACTTGGTGACCAAGGCCTTTAAAGAGTAGATTCAATATCTCACTTAATTTTAGTTTGAGTGTTTTGTTTTCGCTGGCAAGGTGTGCCTTCATTGCCTGACTTGTGAAATATTTATACCAAGGTAATGTCTTTCCTTCCCAGACCTCAGAATATATTATTCAAGCTTACAAATACGGTGCATTTGAGAAGATCCCAGAGTTTATCGCTTTTAGGAACAGGCTGAATAATTCTCTTCATTTTGCACAAGTCCGTACTGAACGGATGTTGTTAGACCTTCTACTTGAAGCAAATATGTAAGTATTGTACAAGAGCTAAAAAGGAGCTAAGGAATTAGATCAGATGCTAAGTGCCTTTAATGGGTTCTTGGGTGACATTAGGCTTAAGCTAAGGAAAACTGAGAAAAAAGAGGAAGTAGAGGAGGGGCACAGTGCAAGGAAGAAAGGAGGAAGAACCTGGTGCATGTCATGGGGCATGAGAGTACTTCCAGCACCGTCTCAGGTTGAATACAGAAGCCAGCTAGTGGTCAGCACCCTGGTCCATATTATGTTTACAAGGATCCCTGCAGACACAGGATTTTAGAAATTAATGTTGGTCCACTTTATTTTGGTTGGGTCTCCAGAAATAGGCCAGTATGGTCTGTGCTTGGTTCTCTTTTACCTTATATGAGCCTTTACTTCTTAGTAATAAATTCTTTCTTCTTTCCTTCCTCTTTCCTTTTCTTTCTTTCTAGTAAAACAAAATCTTAGCTAATATATTTTCATGGCTTTTTACTATTGAAATAATACATAAATAAATTTTCTATATCACAGATCAGTCAGCTTAGCTGAAAGTATAAAATCGATGAATCTTCGGCCAGAAGAAGATGACATTCCATGGGAAGCCTTGCGAGACAACAGAGACTTAAATGTTTTCTTCAGCTGGGATCCAAAAGACAGGTAACTAGAAGTACCCCTGAGCAATTTATTTTTAAAGAATTAGGATGAAGCTAAGAGTTATATGAAAAAAAAATGTAATATACATGTTCGTTTTAGAGATCAGAAAATAGAGATAAGGCAAAGGAAGAAAATAAATCTTATCCCTATGTTGGGATTACTGAATAATCTAAATGTGAGATCTTCCTTCATAGCATATGTGAAAACAAATTCCAGATAGATTAAAGATTATGTGTTAAACTTCCTTAGAAATTCTAGAAGAATTTTTAAAATTAAAAATAAAAATGGTTTGGGGAAAGACTTTCTTAGCGTAACAGATTTCCAATGCCTTCTTTCTCTTGTGAGGGGCCATACCCAGTGTGCTGCTTTCTCTAGCAGTGAAAAATGCAGTAACGTTTGTGCAGCGTTTCTGCTTGGAGAAGCCCGTTAGAGATTTGGTGCCCAGGGTTTTTATCAGCTGGTTACGTGGGCACCCTCTGTCTAGCGTATACCAATATTCCAGACTCCCAGAAGGAAAGTAAGTGTTCACCATTAACAGACAGTCGAGGCACAGTGAGCCACTCTTATTTATTAGGGAATGGTTGGAGTGCCACAGGCCAACCTCACAAGCAGATTCTTTTAAAGGTAATAGCCTCAGGCTTGCTATGTTAACTCTTCTGTATACACACATAAAAGGATGCAATTTAGAAAATAATGTAAATACTGTGAATCTATTTTGTTTAAAATACATTGTTATATAAACATTTTAGGCACATTTTTGTACATCTATATTGCAAAAATCTGAAAGAATCCATACAAGGCTTGTTAATATTGTGGGTCCTTGGTTATCAGGGCAGGTTTTCCTTCTAATTTTTTACTTTTCTGTTATTTAAATTTTTTATATAATGTATTTTATCATTAGAAAAGTAAGTCTTAAGGGGAAAATGGTCTGAGAGGTAGGTAATCATTCCTGTCTTATGGATACCAAAATGGGGACTTGGGAGATTTTGCTTTGTTTAAGATCATTCAGCTTGTAAATGAAAGTTGGGGCCATTCAAGGCCTCTTGTATGATGAAAGTGAACCTCGAAAGATTTAAAGGTAACACATTGAGTAAAAAGGGTGTTTGGGGGATTTTTTTTAAAGGGATGTTTCTGAAGAACATAAAAAACTTTCATTGGCGGAGGAGACCATGTGGTTAAGAATCCGTTCCTTAACACTGAGGCTGATCAGTGGACTTCCAAGTCTTAACCACCCTATGGAGCCAAAGAACTCAGAGAAGACCACCGAGAATGGTGTATCCTCCCGGATTGATATTCTTCGTTTGCTCCTCCAACAGCTGGAGGTGGCCCTGGAGACAGGAAAGCGATTTATTGAGAAGGAAATTCAGGTATCATCATTTATGTATTTAAAACTGCAATAATCTGTGAACATCTTTTTAAAAATAGAAATTCGAGGTGGGTGAATAGTAAAGAACAGTAGTTTGTTCTAATTATGGCATCTATTAGAAAAAGGTGAATATTATAGACTCAGGGAATTGCAGAGGCTTTCTCAGTATCCAAACTGGGCAGTGAGGAAAAGCAAAATAACTTTGTGATGGTGAATTTTTAATAGCTATCAACAAATTAATGGGTGTTTCTGTTTTTACCATAATGGTTTAGTTATTACAGTAGTCTCCTTTTATCTGTGGTTTCGCTTTCCATAATTATGGTTATGCCGAAGTCAGCTGCAATCCAAAAATTACATGGAAAAATTCCAGAAATAAACAATTCATACATTTTAAATTGCTTGCTGTTCTGAGTAGCATGATGAAATCTCGCACTGTCCTGATCCGTCCCGCCCTGAACGTGAATCATCCCTTTGTCCAGTGTATCCATGCCCTTTGGTCGCTTAGTAGCCATCTTGGTTATCAGGGTATTGCAGTGCTTGCGTTCAAGTCACCCTTATTTTAATAATGGCCCCAAAGCACAAGAGTAGTGATGCTGGTAATTCGGATATGCCAAAAAGAAGTCGTAAAGTGCTGCCTTTAAGTGAAAAGGTGAAAGTTCTGCACTTAATAAGAAAAACAATCACATGCTGAGGTTGTTTAGATCTACAGTAGGAACGAATCTCCTATCCACAAAATTGTGAAGAAGGAAAAAGAAATTTGTGCTATTTTTCTATTGTACCTCAAACTGTAGAAGTTACAGCCACAGTGCATGGTAACTGTTTAGTTAAGATGGAAAAGGCATTAAGTTTGTGGGTGGAAGACATGAACAGAACCGTGTTTTGATTGGCGGCAAAGTGTTGCTCCTGCAAGCACTGAGCCTATACGAAGACTCCAGCAAGGGGTCCCTGGAAACGAGTGACCACATTCCTATAACTTATTATGGTATATGGTTATAATTGTTCTATTTTATTATTGTTATTAACCTCTTCCCCTGTTTATAAATGAAACTATCATAGGTATGTACGTATAGGAAAAAACAGTATATATAGATTTTGGTACTGTCTCTGGTTTCAGGCATCCACTGGGGGTCTTGGAATGTATCCCCACAGATAAGAGGGGGACAACTGTAGTTTGCTGATTAGTGTTTTGTAACTTAATTACTGAGATAGATTTTTATCCAGTAGTTAATAATCCCTTGTTTTCTTATTTTGTATGAGTTTAGATGAATTTAAAGAATATCACTTTTTCCTTTCCTTTCCAGTATCCTTTCCTTGGTCCTGTGCCTACCAGAATGGCCGGATTCTTTCATTCTGGCTGTTCTCAGTGTCAGACCAGTTCCTTTTATCTTGTTAGTGATATTTATGAGCTGGATGCCAGTGGTTTAGGTAAGTGCATTTGCAGGAGTGTGTTTACAAGGCCTTTGTCATTGCAGTATTGCACTTAATATATGCAACAAAATATCTGTAACCTCACTGTTTGGAAAAATTTCAAGCTAGAAGCTGTTCTGGAAATGTCTGGTTTAATATACAAGAAATATATGGTTTAAATATAAAGTACATTCACAGGTTACAAAGTAATGTTTTAGAAGCTTAAGTCCTTTCTGTATTTGAACTCTTCTTAGGTTCAGAAGTTGAAGAAATTCTTGATTTGTTGAAATATTGTTAGATTTCAAATTGAGTTCTTTACCTAAAATGAAGCCCTTAACTTTATGGAGAAGAGTTTTTTTGTAAGCTCTCAAACCAGCAAGAAGCACAAATATGCTATAGACTATGGCTTTTTTTTTTTTCTTCTAAAGTGTAAGATTTGTAGATCCTGTCATTTAGAGTGTTTGAAACATAGATTTCTAGTCCTAGAGAATTTTAGGTAGTGCTTTTGGCAGAAGATAATTAATACCTTTCTTTTCTTTTTTTCCTTTTTTCCCTTTCCTCCTTTTTTTTTCTTTTCCCTTTTTTTCATCTTTCTCTCTGTCTCTCAGTAATAGAATTTAGATGCCAATTGGTCTTAAAAGAAAATGTCTTTGCCCACATGTTGCTTGTAGGTATTAATCTTGCTTAAAAAATGAACGTTTTTCATTGCTTTTCATTTTTAGAGGATACAGTGGAGATCCAGGAGCGAGTAGAGAATAGTCTTAAGTCTTTATTAGAACAATTAAAAGGTAAGCGTGATTACTGTGGATTCCCATTTTTACATTTAATTGTCTGATAGCTGCTCATTTTTAAAATAGAAACTTGTAAGAGGATTTGAAAATAATGCATACTTTTGGTATTTTTAAAGACTTGTTTTTAACTTTAAGAAGTTTTGGTGACAGGAGCAGTAGATACCTATTATAAAACAGTACACAGGTGTCTGTGGTCTTTCCCCCTTTCCCAGCCCCATTTTTCCAGAGGTAAGAACGAACCGTAGACATTTTTTAGATACTACCCAAATGGCCAGCCATACATGTATAAAGAAATACATAGTAGTGATTGTTTTTTTAACATATGAAAAGGAAGAATACATGCTTTTCTGACATTGTCAGTTATCTATACACTCCATTCATTTGAAGGATGGCATAATTTATAGTCTTATATCAGTGTACCAAATTTATTTCTCTATTCCCCCATAGAAGACATATTATGCACTTGAGTTATTTGTAACAGTATATTTATAACTGCCGAAATGAACATCTTGGGACACAAGTGTTTGGGTACTAATTTGAGTATTTTCTTGTGATTAAATTCCTAGAAATGGAATTATTTAGTAAAAGGGTGCACACAAGCATATTAATCTATAAAGGTCTCTATTTCCATGAGCCTAAACAGTCTTTTATTTCATTGTCCAAATGAAGAATGATAATTAAAAGATGAAAATTATGAGAATTAAATGTGGTACTTGCTGTATACTGTGTACTGTAGTCTTTAAATCCTTAATGACACAAGTTCTTCTAAATCATTCACTTGAAACCTTAAATTTATTGTGCCAATGGTCTGTCTGTGGAAAGGCTTAGCTGGTGTTTAGACCCTAGAATATGTAATTTGTAAGGCCACCTTTTGTATTTTGAAGACAATTAGAGCAATAGTCATGTGGATTTTTAAAGAGCTTAAGATAGATGTTCCTTGCTGTTTGGTTCATTGTGGGGGGAGAAGATTTCTGGAATAAGCTTTTAAATTTGCTTATTCTTTAGTAGATTGTGCATCGTGTTTCTAAAAATAACATTGAAACAGAACCTGAATAAAACCATAAAATATTTTTCTGTTTCAGACGTCTTCAGTAAATGTAAAGGTGATCTGTTAGAAGTTAAAGATGGTAACTTGAAAACACACCCCACTCTTTTAGAAAACCTAGTCTTCTTTGTTGAGGTATGTTTTGTTTTCTTTCTGAAAAACTCAATTTTCCTTAAATGTATGCAGGATTAATTTTTCAAAAATGAACAGGTAATAGGCACCTTATACCTGTAATTTATTTTCTCACCCTGCCTTTCATTAATTGAGAAACATTTTAAGTCATTTTCTGGACCAACTTTTTTCAAGAATACCAAGATTTCATTCATAATGCTTAGATAAAACTTCCTGGAATTTGCTTTACTCATCTCTGAAGATTGCTCAGATTCTCTCCAGTTCTAGCTATTTTTTGTTTATTTTCCTTTTTGACTTAACTATTATGTTGTTTAAATTAATTCCTCCAGCTTCTTTTATTTGTTGTTGCTGTTTACTAATTAATTACTGAGATTCTGCATTATGAAAGAGAATTCAGGAGCTGATGTAGCAAAACTCTCTTCTTTTTTAACAGAGAGGATCACAAACACTCATAATTTATTATCTTTCCTTTAATTTCTGTTGCATGTTTATTTACTTTTCTTCTCCTACTAGTCTATAAGCTTCCTGAGGGCAGTATTCTCTATTCTGGTGATTGGCACATTGTTAAGTGCCTAAGATGTACTTACTGAATGAACGAATGTGTAATAATTGCACGTATATGTATGTACATGCTTACACTGGAGCATAGGAGAAGACATGTAAACATCTAACTTAAACACAAAGGAGGATTATGTACTGACCAACTGGGGAGATTTCCTTCTATGTAAGTTAGATTTGCAAGTAAGGCAGCATCTTACCTGGCTGGAGAGATGGATGGAAAAAGGCATATGGTAAAGAACCTTTGGATTCCATACGTAGGAATTTCGATGTCTCACTTGAGTGAAAAGAATGTTAATAGATCCCCGCTTCCTACAGGAAAGTGAAAGGAAACTGGTGTAAGTGGAGAGTAGGTTTAGAGCTGGGAAAGCCAGAAGAAAGGATAAATATTTAAGCTGTCACAGTATTCTGAGCAGGAGATGATAAAGGCCTGAATCAAGGTGGTGATCATAGTAATTAGAGCAAGTGAGGAGAAATCGAAGGGATTTGTGTAGAGAACTGTCAGTCTCTTTGTTTAATTCATTACATTTAACTGTTCCTGATAGATATCTTGAATGTAATTCTTATTCATGAATTTGTAATTTTTCTTCTTTCAGACTATTTCTATTATCCTTTGGGTGTCCAGTTACTGTGAGAGTGTCCTGCGACCATATAAATTAAATTTACAGAAAAAGAAAAAGAAGAAAAAAGAAACCAGCATCATCATGGTAATAATAACAGAAAACACAAGTAATAATCTGGCTGCATGCTGCTTTTTCTTTCACTGTTTCTCTACATGTTGTAACAGACCGTAGGATTCCATATATATTCATTTTCTCTCCCCAACGTTGTTTTTTCAATTGCACACCTACAGGAAAGCTGAAAGATTAGCATAGTGACACCCAAATATTGTTACCTAGACTCACCACTTGTTAACAGTTTGCCACGTTTGCATTGCCTCTCTTCCTCCCCCACCTTTACCTTCTCCCTCGCTTCCATACCGCCCCCTCCCCCAATTTGCTGAACCATTTGAAAGAAAAGTACAGACTTCATGATATTTAACACAAGGATAAAACAAGGGCAGTCCTCTACAAAACTGCAATACTCAAGAAATTTTCACACATTTAACATTCAAAGACAGTAAAAAACAAAAAATGGGAGAAAAAAAGGAAATTTAATATTGATACAATAATTATGTCCTTTTTAGCCTTTTTTCAAGATACTAGAATCCTACTAAGGATCTGTCACGGCTTTTAGTTATGTCTCTTTACCTCCTTTAATCTAGAACACTTCCTTGGCCTTTTGTCTTTATGGTTGAAGAGTCAGTCTGTCTAGATTTTTGGTAGACTGTCCCACAATCTGGATTTGGCTAATTGTTTTTAAATCAGGGGCACTAATGTTGTGATGTCCCGTTGTTGCTGATTTCTAATTTAATTATTTGATAAAAGGAAGCGTCTACTGGATATCTTTATTGGAAAGGTGCCTTTGCTCCCTTGCAGGATGATACTTTGAGACTGTGACTATCCTACTTTCCACCAGCCTTTCACTCATTGGTTTTAGCATCCATTGTTAGTCTAACTTGCGTGAATCATTATTACATTAGTGGTTCCACAAAGGTGAATTTTTAAAAATTTTGTCAATTTGTCATCTCTATTTAGCTTGCATTATTCTGTAAAATAGAGCTGTCCCACCCCCATTCATATATATATTTGTTTGTATATTTTTAATATCACTATCTGAGTATCACTATGAACTCATTCTTTTTAAAATTAACCTTATAATCCATTATCATCATTTTCCTTTGGATGTTCAGATTTGGCTAATGGGAGCCACGTTAAGCTGGTTTTTATCCTTGAACGTGTCCTCATCAGTTTTTTAGACCCTGCTTTCTGGAACAGCAAAAATGCTCCAAGCACTTTGTACTTTCCCATTGACCCGAAATCAGATACTTTTTCAAGGAGCCCTCCTGGTTCCTTTATGGGGAACGGTATTTCAAAACCAAGATCTAGGTGTTAGGTGTGTTAAGTGCTGTTGGAGTTTCATTGCTTCTAGTTATGTCCGTGGAAAGAGATAGGAAATTTATTACATACACAAACACACAGAGTTTTAAATAATTAATTCTTACTGATACCTCCAGCTTTAGTCCAACATCACTTGTCTTCCTTCTCTTCCTTCCCTCATTCCATATTTGTAACTTTATTTTCATAGAATGAGAACCCGGCTTCTAACAGCATCAATATATTTGTTCACTTGCCTTTTTTACAATAAATACCAAATAGTTTTGGAATTAGCAAATCAGTTTCACTACTAGTTCCAATAACAAACCCACAAAATTAAGTTCACGTTATTTGTAATTTTACTTTTTGTCCTTAGAATATGTTCCAGTGAATGTAGATAGTTTAGGTACTCTGTAAAAGCACTAGAATTAAAAACTGAGGTTATATTATTAGAGGGATGTAAATAAAGTTCATTTGTTTCTTTTTAAATTCAATTTTGGAGTTTCTTCCTATCTTTATTTTAGAATGTGTAAAACAACATAATGTGTATCCTTTTTTTAAAGGAGTTATTTAGGATTCATTCTGCACATGACAAACTGTTTTGTTGTTAGAATTTTTCCTATTTTAATAGGAAGGCCTTGTTTGCTGTAGCAATATAGTAGCCACTGTCTCTTGAAAATGTTTATGGTTTTAGTAGTAATACTGACTTTCTGCACAATTCAAGAATAACAAATTCAGGAATTCTTTAAATTTGACACTGTGCTGGGTGTTACCATTCATTCAGAAGCAAAATATACTTAGATTTGGATGAGGGACTAAGTGAAGGAAGCTTCTCGTTCATTTTTTCAAGATAATTTAACATCATCAGTGCAAAGTTTGAAAGTATGGATTAGAGGTGCTCTGTTATTCTCTCTTCTAATGAAAGGTTACAGTCCTAGAACTTGTTAAATAGCTTTTTGGTATTTGAATTTTGTGGTTTTTGTAGTTGTAGCTTTTCTAGTTTCCCAAAATGAAAATAGCTTTCCTATTTTTCTGATTATCAAAGTAACGTAAAGGTGTGGGTAAAGTGAAGATCACCCATATTCCCACTGACCAGTGACAGCCACTGCAAACAAATGAGAATCATGTTAAATAGAAAGTTCTGCAACTTGCTTATTTGTTTTTTTCATTTAACAGGTATCTTGGACATCTCATTTCAGTAATATATTTGTATCATTATTTTTAATGGTTATGTGCCATTCTGTTGTATTAATAAACTATAACATTCCCATTGATGAATATTTGGTTCTAACTTTTTAAATATTATAAATTGTGCTGCTATTAAAATATGAACAAATACACAAAGATGAATTTATAATGACTTCCTTAGGATATCTCTTAGCCCGAAATTACTATGTATATGCATTTTTACATTCAACAGTGTTGTGTGTCTGTGTCTTTACCCATCTGACAGGCAAACATTGGTATTCTCTCTTTTCTAATTAGCATTTAAAAAAATTCTACTGATGTTGAACTTTCAAAATAGACTTCTTGAGTGAAAAACTGGCCTTCATAATTGACTGGCTAATTTTCTTGTGTTTATATGTTTTGTTTTGTTTTTTTAATTATATCATGCTGCTGTGATTTCTTCGCTATAATTTTTGTTCTGACTTTGCCCAAGTTTTTTATTGTGGTAGTGGTAGTTTTCCTGTTGATATGTTTTGAGCTCTTGGGCTCTTAACATAATCGTGTTTTAACTTGAGTGATTTTTTTGGTCCATATAGTAATTTAAAATAAACAAGATTTTTTTCTTTTAATGGTTCTTAGTGTAATGTTTAGACAGGCTTTTCCAATTTATGATCGTAGAAGTCATTACCTAAATTTTCTTCTGGTGCTTTGATGGATTTTTTTTCTTTTATTTAGATATTTAAGCTATCTGGAATTTATTCACTATTTTTATTTTGTATTTCCAAATGTCTAGCTAGTTAACTCAGTACTACTCATCTACTTGAAACCACTGTTTTGAAATGCTACCATTTAAATTCCTTTATATTCTTTGGTTTGTCTTGGCTTTGTATACTTTGATTTTTTTTTTGTCAATTTACTTATATACCACTTCCAATTTAGACTTAATATAAGTTTATAGTATAAACTCTAATATCTATTAGGGCAAATTGCCCTTAACTACTCTTTTTCAGAATTTTCTTGGCTGTTGTCACTCATTTTATTAACAATAGAGGAAATCTCAAAGAAATGGGAAGAAATGAAGTCCCAGTTCCTCTTATCATCTCATCTCAGTATTCCTGGAGATTCTCAGCCCAAACTTGAGTCATGACCAACTAAGATAGTTTTCTGTTGAAATTTTATCTCCAGTTCCCCAGGGTGAACTAAAATCTCATTTTAATAAAATGCTTAGCTCATCATTGCCGAATTAGCATTATTTGTTGGCAATTAAATTTACCATCATTTGAGAGACTCTGTTGATTTCCAAAACTGTATCCATCCCTGCCACTATTAATAGCATTAAGTAATGTTATAGTATAGAATTAGTATAGTTTATTTCATGTGAAGCTTATTTGATATTAGCATAGGAAATATGTTTGATAATCTTCCAACTTTTTAAAAATCTTTTTTTCCAGCCACCTGTCTTTACCAGTTTCCAAGACTATGTTGCTGGGCTTCAGACATTAATTTCCAATGTCGTGGATCATATTAAAGGGCTTGAAACACATCTAATTGCACTTAAACTTGAAGAACTTATTTTAGAAGACACTTCTCTCTCACTGGTAAGAGAATGTGGGCGATCAGCAATAAGTTATATATAGGTATTCAGTTGTTCTTATCTACATCATGAGGACATGTTAATTTTCAATTCATCATTTCCTTATAGCAGTTTCGGTTAGAAGGTGCCTGTTTGCTGTGTTGTTTGTGTTGGTGGTAGGTTCCCCTCCTCCTTTATATCCCTCCACCCCATCCCTTTATTCTGTACATTGGGCGGTGGCGGTGTGGGGGTTGTTCTTTTACCATGAAAACTAATGATGAATTAGTGAGGAGTAGAATTAGTATTGTCCCCTTACGAGCACCAGAGGAAACCAACCATATTTTTGCAGTCCAGGGATAATCTTGATTGAGAACTTAACTTGCTTCTGGATTAACTGGCTTCTTTGCCACCTAAGCAGTTACCACCTGAAAAAAGAAAAATGTTAGACATCAGAAATAATTATGTCAGTAATTAGGCTAGAGCATGCCAGCCAAAAAAGGAATGAAATCAAAGGTAGCAGCCATCAGATTTCTCCTGATAATTATTTTACACTGGTTTCTTAAAATTCTGTTAGAAAAAGCCCTGTAAAGTCTAGCCTATAAAATGTAGATTCTTTTAAAAAATTAAACAAATAAAAGCTTTCAGCCTGAAATAATTAAAGATGTAATGGTGTCAGGTAAGTTAACATTCACCAGCCTGGAGCAGGTTTAGGATTATAATGGAGGCCAGAGGGCAATGGCGGTACCACCCGTTTCTAGCTAGTTGCTCCAGTGATGAAAGTCTGACCTTGAAGGAATGCTTCCCTTGAGTATTCCTGTGACCAAAGCCTCTGCTGAGGAGGGAACTCATCCAGAAATCTGAAGGCACTCATCATCTTAGCCCCATATTTCCACGAAAGGGAAGGAAGAGAATCTTGCTTTGCACAGCAGCTGTAAAAGATTGCAAGCCCCTCTTTTGAAAAACTTCAATACAATAGAGCTTTAGCGAGGGGCTTACTGTGGAAAAAGGCACAGAGCATGTAATATTTCCCAAGACTGAATAAAGAAAGCAGATATTTATTGACATGGGAAAGTACAAGTTTGGTTTTAGCCAGGTAAACTATATATTCAGCTGCTTTCCTACATATATTTGAATGAATATAGACTTCAGTGGTGATTAAAAGCACTAATTGATGTATTATTTAATTCTTTAATATTTTTGTCTCCTTTTAAAGCTTCAAATTGTTTTGAAAAGTAAAATATGCACGTGGTAGAAAAAAGTGAAAATGTAAAGAAAGACAACAACTTCCATTCTAACCTATGCGCTAGTTCTCTTTCCAAGAAGGAACTATTAATAGTTTCTTGTGCACTCCTAGATAACCCATCTAGAAGCATATTATGTCTAGTTCTCCACTCCCTTTAAATACAAACAGTAGCATCCTATACACATTGTTTTGTCTCTTGCTTTTTGTACTCACCTCTAGGGGGACCATTACGAATGAATAATTACTTTATTCTTTTTAACTGTTCTGTAGTATTTCATCATTTCTTTACACACAAATGTTTGTTTGTTACAAGAGAATTAGAAAATAGAGAATAGCACCTCCCAGTTCCCAACCTCAAATCAATCCCAGTCCCACCATCCAGAGCCATCTCCACCTCTCCCTCTTCTGTATTCCTGTAACACATATGTATCTGCCAGTATCCTTTATGACTTCCAGGCACTCGTGGTATCCAGTAAAGGCCTAGTAATTGAATCCTGGACAAATAGGTACATCCCAGGTAGGATTTTTGCCTTCTATTTCCCACTTGAATGAAGAGACACTTGACAGTCCTTTTGGAATACATTTCCATGTGAAGAAATCTGGAAATTCAGAGTAGATTTGAGCTGTTAAATTTTTTACTTTTTAGATCAATTTTAAGCTCATTCTTTATTCTAGATTCACATACCCTTTCCTGGATGCTATAGAAAAAAAAAAAAAACCTTAAAATTATGGTACCTATTCTTTGAAAAAAAAAAAATCTTAAAGTTTGCATACTTGAATGAATGTCACATTACTTCATGTAGTTGGACTTTGCTGGGTATCTTTGAGATATTTAATAAGTAGATATGAATGTATTGAGTTCGCAGTTGTTGGGCTAAAGGTTTGTAGAAATAGCGACTAAAAGACCTGGCCGTAGAGAGATGCATACAAATGACTTTAAATTGGATATAGGATACAAGCACAGAAATCTGATCTAGTCAAAAAGAGTCTTACTGGAGAGGGGACATTTGAGGATTAATAAGTTCTCACCAGGCAGACAGGAATGAATGAAAGGAATTCCAAGCAGGAGGAGGCAGAAAAAAGCAGAGGCAGGAAAGTGAATTGTGTGGGGCACCATGAGTCAGTCGGCAGAGCCCAGGCCCATGGTTATGTGGGAAGGATTGTCCGGTGTGAAGGTGACAGGCACAAGAGCCCTGCTGTTGTGACTGTGGGGCGTTGTTCTTATTAAAAGATCTGCCTCCTGAAATGAAGGGTAAGATTTCTCTTTTTTAGTGTTTAGAGGTTATCTTTAACTTTGTGCTGCTCTCTAGATTTTTTAAAGCCTGGGTCTGTCCTCTTTTGACCTTGAGAAAGTCACTTAACCTTTGGGCCTAATTTATCTCTAAAATGGAAATCATAGTAATACCTACTACATAGGATTATAGTGAGAATTAAACAAAATAGTAATGGTCTTATATTGTCTACTTTTGTTAAAGTTATGATACATATAACATACTGAGCAGCACCAGCTACCAAATATAGGATCCATATAGTGCTGGGTACTTGTCTTTTAGGTTAAAAAAAAAAAAAATTCTCTTCAACTTCCATTAGGTTCACAGAATTCTTTCTTTTTGTTTTCCTTTCTTACTAAACTTGAGACACTATGAATAAGGCCTCTGGACTACCACTTCCTGTTCTGGTCCCCTTCCCCCCTCCCTAGGGGAATCTACTGAAACTGGGTGTGTGCCAAGACCTTTTTTTTTTTTCCATTTATACTCAGACAAAATCCACAGTATTATTTGTATCTTTTGAATAACACCTGGTTTTAATATAAAATTGTAATGTATTTTACCTTTGTTAGGTTTTTAAAAGTAAACGATACACTATTTTATTCTGAAGCTTGCCTTTTTTTCACTCAACTTTATAATTCAAGATATCTCTTCAGGTTAATGCATATAGGTCAGTCTTGTTCTTTTAAACAACTGTTTAGTACTCAAAATATGAATGTACCACAACCATTGGACATTTAAAAGTTTCTATAATTCACTCCTACATACAGTACTGAATGAAATGTATTTGTACATACTTTCTTATGTACATTTGTATTTCTAAGGTAGATAGATGAGGTCTCAAGTAGTAGTATTGTGGGACATAGGCTGTGCTTACCCAGTTTCTTCTGAGCTTTGCAATACTGCCAGCTTCATGTAAACCTAACCAGTTCTCAGCCAACCTCTTTTCTGTGTTTGAAAACTGTCCCTCGGCTCCTACCGCCCTTTTATTTTTGTGGTCTCTACCACAGGTCAAATGAGCAGCAAATAGTGGAGGTTTAGGAAAACTTTGGTCTTTTTTCAGTAGTTTGGCCTCTGGAACCCGTTGACTTTTCAATATGGAGGGAGACCTGTCAATATTAAAACTAAAAATGTCGATACTGGTAAATTTGATGCCTTTAAAAAGTGGCTGTGATAATGTCAAAATTAATAATAAATTCCTACTTTTTATCTGATGAAATAATCAGAGATCTCAATTTTTCCACTTTGTGTACAGTGCATAATAAAAGTGTTTTATGTCCAGACTAGTAATAAATTTTTACTTTTTTTCTTGATGAAAACTACTAATTAGAAATGTTTTTCAACTTTATATAACTTATAACAAAGGTTACTTGAAAGAATAATGATGTGAAAAAAATAGGGTCTTAGTGAAAAATCACATGGAAATATATACATCAGTGATGAGCTTTAGCCGCCTTTGCATTTTATGAACTTGAAAATGACCCACCCTATTCTGATGGAGCTTGCAATAAGGCCAAAGGTAATGGTAATTTTAGTTTATATCTGGGGAACTATAATCTAGGCTAATGCTTTCTGAGCAGGACCACTAATTCTTGTCTTCTTTGTAGGAAGAGAGAAAATTTTCAAAGACTGTGCAAGGGAAGGTGCAGAGCAGTTATCTGCACTCACTTCTGGAAATTGGGGAGCTGCTGAAAAAAAGACTTGAGACCACAAAGAAACTAAAAATTTAAGCAAGTGTGAACTACAGGCACTGATGACTCTATAGCAGAAAATGACATCATCTTCCCAGGCAAAATCTACATCTGGTTGACCATCATTTTAATCCAGAACTTCCTCATAAAATGCATGAAGGACTTTGATCGTGAATTAATTTTTTAGGTATTAAATGTATACAACTGATTAAATTATTGTATATAAACCAGAAGCAGGACCCTCATCTGGGTTTGACCACTTTTTATACATGTTCATATGCATATGGCAGCCACAAGAGAACCCCACTTTTCTTCCTCCCTTCTATCACCAGAAACATCTGGTGGGGGGAGGGTCCTATAAAAGCAGCAATAGAAATTAAGCATAAAGCATCGACCTCAGAGCAGCTGAATGGCCCTGCCATTGTAGCAGTGGATATTTTGGTCTGGTCCTTGAGCCTTAGGAAGCAGAAAGGAGAAATAGAGGGGGACCATGACTGGGAGCAGGCCCTCTTTCCACGTTAGCAGTTTAGTTTTAAGGCTTCCTCAGCTGCTTGGCTCCCATAGAACCCAAGGCAAGTACCTAAGGGGCCTCAGATGAAATCTGGTACAAGCACCTGTCACTGACGGGCACCACTCAAGACAACCACAGGTGCTCACTTTTTGGCTTAATAGTCCCAGTAGCCAGACATCCCCATCCTAGCTCCCATGAGAATTAAATTATAGATGGGCTTCTGTTAACTTAGAGCTGTCTGGAAGGGAAAGCAGTGCAGACCACTTACAAGCCTGCCGAGGGCTAGCTTGCTGTCTTTCATCTGTTAGGGGAAGATGGGAATCACTTTTAAAGAAGAAAGGTGTACATAATTTATGCAGGCAAGTCTAATGCCAATGCCATTGGTTTTGTGAGATATATATATATATATGTACATGCTTTTACATATATATGTATATTTTCAAGCATATGTGTGTGTATATGTACATATACATATATATGCTTGAAAATGAAGATATAATACTTTAGTTTTTTTTTTTTTTAAGTGGGGCCGGGGTTTGGGAAGGAAGGAAGGAATGTATATTATAGACTTAACCTAGGTTTTACATTTTCGGCTGGCAAAAGAAATGTTATGCATTGGGTTTGAGGTTCAGTTTACTTTTTTCAAACCTGAGGATCACACCGGGTTGGTGTTTACATTGTTCACCTGGAGCTCTTCAAGACTATTGCTTCAGAGGTAGGTCTGACAGAAAAGATAAACATTGCTCTTGAGAATGTTGCAGTTTATACAATTGCTTTGATAACTTTTTGTGTTTGAATCTGTACTTCTGTTTTTTGTCTTTGTTATCCAAATATTGTTAAAGTTAGTAATTTTGTAAGAGCAAAGAAATTAATTTGATGAGAAAATTCGAGCATCTGGTGGCGATTGGTCTTGAAATCCTTAAAGGTCCTTTCCAACTCACTTCTCCAGTGAGATGTGATACTTCTCTCCCTCAAAAGCAACAAAAGAGAGCTTAGAAAGTCTCTGTATACAAAGCAATTGCATCTTGTCTCCTCATCTGGACTTTCTTAGACTCACGATTTGATAGGGCAATTAATAACTGTTTATAAACTGCCAAGGAAATTTTTTAGAAAATGACTACATTACCTGTTCAAAATAAGACTTGTTGGAAATCCTAGTCCATCAAGTAACTTCAAAAAAATTACTTTTGATGTAAATTAGTAGCCACAGCTGTCACACCCCATCCCAAAAGGATGAACAAGATGAACTGAAAATTCTGATTGATTCCAAATGTAATTTAATGACAACATATCATACTTTCTTAAAACTATGACCTATGGAATTTTGTGTGTGTGGCAGTGGGGGTGTGTATGGCATGTGTTCTTGAAATGATGTTTCCATGAATGTCCAAAAATACCGTACATAGAAATAGAAATGCTCTTTGAAACAAGTCTGTCAACCGACCTTGATCTATCTAGCATATGTGTGCTCAGTGGGCTGGCTTTGGTCCTCAGGGACAGTGTGTGACTCCAGTGGTCTACCTAACTAGTCTCTTGCTTAGGGGCATCTGGGACCTCTACTAAAAACTCAGAAGGTGGGTTTTAGTGACAATGTTATGTCAAGGTTATGCTTCCTTTGTTACTTGCTGATTTTCCCACTAAATGTAGCATTTCAATTAGATCCAAACCTCTTACGTTTTGAGAAAATTGTAAAAAGAATGAAATTATGCAGAAATGGCCAATATCTTTTATTGATCTGTTCCTTTGGAAACTCATGCACTATAAATTGTGTACAGTTAAAAAAAAAAAAATATATATATATATATATATTCTTACATGAGTAAAAAAGCACCCTCTCCAGCAATCGTATGTCATTGGTATTTGAAGAGAATTCCCAAATAACTCATTGCTGCTGCTGCTGTTTTTGGTTTGTGTGAGTTTTTTTGTTTTGTTTTTGTGTGGTAAATTGCTATTTAAAAAACAAAAAAGGAGAAAAAACACGACTACTGTTTACAGACTGAAAAATTACTGCTTTTTATACTACTGAGATCCTAAGTTGAGACTCTCCAAAGCAAACATTTGGTTTAAATCATTTATCTGATATGGATAAAAAGTAGAGGAAATTTTTAGTGTTCTCCAAATGTACAAATGCCTAGCTGTGTTGCCCATCAATTTTGTATATTTTCATAATTTTAATTGTTCAAAATTGCATTATATTTTGCAATCACTATGTTCAATCTGGACTTGTCTTTCATTTTAACTTTTAATATAAAAAAGGGGTTTCAATGTATCTATGGCCTTGTTATTGAAACTCTTCCTACTTATTTGATGTGATTTATTAAAATGGGAAGTATATATTCTTCCTTTTCAGAATTAAGCATAGAAATTTACTTTAAACTGGATGGGTTAATTTATATAAACATTTTTAAATTGGCATTTCTGCCCGGTTCATTTTTGTTCAAATTCCTAGAAGTTACCTTTTAAATGATATATTTCATCTCAATTTTGTATTGTTACATTCCTCAGCAAAATTGTGAAATTTGTGAAGTTAAAATTTATCTGCCAAGGCGATTAGTCTTTTTGTTTAAAAGAAGTACCTTGCATGCTAGCAATCTTTAATTCAACATATATCTAATGAGTACTTACTTACTATGTGCCAGATTCCATTTTAGGCTCTGCTGATATAATGATAAATGAGACCATATATATCCCAGTTAGTGGCTGAGGTGGGGATAGTGACAATAAAAATAAATACTAGTTTGTAATTAAGTCTGGTTTAATAAAATAAATCAGGGTATGTGAAAAAGTGGGTTGTGAGAGGACCCCTTGAGTGGTGCCCTCTGACCTGAATGAGGAAGAGTCAGCCATGGAAAAAACAATGCAAGTGCAGAGGCCCCAAGGCAGGAGACAGCTAAGCATGTTCCAGTGACTGAAAAAAAAAAAAAGGCTCAAGTGGCTGGGACTTAATGAAAGAAGTTGAAGGGTAGGGATTGATGGAAAGTAGAGTGGGGATCAGAGCAATAAGGACTTTAGCCATGGGAAGGAATGAGATTTCTAAATTTAGTGGCAAGTTAACTGGAGGATTTCAGACAGGCTGATGACGTGATTTATCCAAGAGTGTGTGTGAACATACAGGCTGACATTAAGTTTATTCAGCCATACTAACAGTGGAACCAGGAGCTGTTTATCTTTTCTCTCCTAGTCTCCTGTCATGTATTAAGTGCTCTTTTTGAGCTCTGAAAAAAGTCAATTTTTGGCCTGCTTCTGTCCCAACTGTCTCTTTTCCTTTAGCTAAAGATGGGTACTTAGATATACTAAACTGCCGTTTTTAACTTTTCCCCAAAAAGGTGGGCTCACAGTTATACTTTTTCATATTGGTTTTTTTTGGTGCTATCACTGCCTTAATGCAGGTATGTATTTCATATAAGTGGAGGGTAAGCAACTGTGAGCCAAATGCTTATAAAAATTATTTGTGGGGTACCTAAAGCAGTTTATGCTTGAAGAGTGCAGAGCTTTTCTACAACCTCCAGCTTCCACATATCCCTTCCACAAAAGTGGGTCCCAGAAATGTACTGTTTTACATATGAGAAAAGTAGTTATTGCATATAAGGTCACTACTTAGGACCACCCAGTGGGGTAAGAGTTGAATAAGATTCAGACTCTTCAGCACTGATGAAAGGAGCTAAAACCCAGACAAGCCCCAAACCATCTCACATTCTTGGTCTTGATGGCCATGTTCAAATTCTCATTCTATCTTGGTTTCTTACTGAATAATCAACCTCTCCTGATGTGACTCCAATGCCAACATTTTTTTTATTTTCTATTTTTATTTTTGGTGTGTGGGCACCAGTTATCGAAGACTATTTGTAAATTAAAATTATTCTTGGCACTTTCTGAGAGAACTTGAAAGTTCCTTAGAATAGGGTTCTTCATGTTAGATTCATGGTCTCATTTGTGTCAGGTTATCTGGAAAGTTCCCTTAAGATTGTATGTACTTGTTTGATTCTGGGAAGCCAGTCCATAGCCTTTATTAGTCTGATTAACAGCCATGTCATTTAAACTAGATGCTAAGAAGCTAAAGGAAGGAATCCATTTGACTCGTTATTGGGAGATTGAATTTTACATGGCATGTGCAAGTCACTTCAGACTCTTAAACCAGAAAAAGGGCCCATCTTTAATGAAAAAATCTAGTCCTGCCACATAGCCCATGTTTCTTCAAGACCCTAGGTTTATAGTTAAGACCCAGCCTGGACCCATTCAGTGAAGTACACCGGATATGTTGTCACCTTCTTCCATTCCTCTCACAATTGAGATGAGAACACATTCAGGGACTGTGGATACATTTAGAGTTCTTTCTCTTTCTGCCATCTTTAATTTCCATAAGTTAGTGAATACTTAGTTCTTCAGAAATGACTGCTTTAGGTACATAAGAAAAAACTAGAACAGCTAAAGCAAGTTTAGCAGTGAGAAGCATCCAAAATGATCTCCCCAAGTTAATTAAAATTGAAATAACAAGTAGGGGGAATACTGAATTTGTTGGGCCAAATATATGTTCTTTTGTCAAATGTTGCAAGTACCTGTGCTGGATTTGGGCAGGCTTTTAGGTTTGAACATCTTTTACCTAGATGAATTGTTAGCCTAAGCTTCCACAATTGTTTTTGTTCAATCCAATTCGACACATGGATTTTCCTGCATATATTTTTGTTTACAGTGACTTTTACCAATCTGGGATAAATAAGAAACATAAACATTTAAGATTTTATTTGCCATCTCTGTTCAACTTAAATTTCTTTGGGTGCAATTAGACATATTTCAGGAGCTACAGTTTCATAATTTCAAATAGTTAAATAAGAAAGTGGGAATGTTATGAAGCTTATTGCAGATATTGCTCATCACTCACGAGAAGTTTCAAAGTCAGTACAGTGCTTCCTCCCTCTGCTTTTTAAAAGTTGGTGCTTACTGAGTAACTGACAGTGACAAAGTAACTTAACTGGAAAACAATCCCTTTTTTAATTTCCAAATTGAACTGAATTGCATCATTTAGGTATCTAAATCAAACTTGAAAAAACTTATCAGATTATATCAGCAAAACTATGAATTTGCTATATGTATCTCGTGGCATATGGAAAATTATTACACTGAAGTTCATTAACGTTGCCATTCAATTTTAAGGATGAGAAAATGGACAATGCAATATACCACCCACAATCAGTCCACTTGAATCTGAACACCAGTCGAAAGTAATAAAGGTAGCCATTGAGCTGGGACCAGTTTCCAGAGTGTTGTCAAGATAATCTGTTACCCTGGTAGAGTGGGGTCCATACCAGCTTAGATTAAAAATTCAAAAGAGAAAGCAGGTCATAGGCCAAGGTATCATTTGTAAAAGAAAACTGAATAGCTTCAGGTCCACTTAGCCAAAACATGGAAACTTTAATTGGATCAGAATTACACCTGTTAACGGTCTGGGCTGTACATTCTTTATAGCACCAATTCCTTCTGAGGGTGAATTTCACAAGCCATCTGAATAAGCGTTCTAGCTATACCCAGACTGGCTATAGAGATGTCCCAAGCATGGTCATATCAGCATCAATGTCCAGGCATGCTCAGATTTCTGGTTACTAGTGTCACTTTCCCCACCACTCCCTGATATCTCAGAAGGGTCTCACAGCCAGCAGGTAACTCTCCCTCCCCACCCTCACCAAACTGGAAAACCTTGGAGTGCCTTTTTACAGCTCCTCCTTCTCGGCCCCCTTCTTCTGGAAGGCAGTCAAGATGTTCAAGCTCTTCTGGAGCTCTTCCTTCTTCCCGTCGCTCATCTTGTTCTTCTCAATCAGCTTGGTGATCCGGGTCATCTCTGATGCTGGGAAGTCCTCGCCCTGGTCTAAGACCTTCCCCATGATCTTCAGGTATTGCTCGGCCCACTTCCTCTCAGTCTCCTTCACACTTGCGAGGTTATCCTGTCCCTGCTTCAAGAGGGCCTGGCGGGCCTCCACACCAGAGGCCTTAATGAACTCTCCAGCAAGGTTGTCGTATGTAGGCAGGCAACCAGGCATACCTAGGTAGACCCCATGCCCCTTTAGCCAGCGCTGGATGGCTCCAACCTTAACTGCCCCACTGTACAGGACTGGGTTCTCAAAGTCCCCATCCCGGAAGAGGTAGAAGACTGGGTAGTTCTCTTTGTCCAGCTTGTATTTCTCACTCAGTTCCATATTCAGCTTGTCACCATAATCTGTGAACAGAAATCAGATAGGAGGAGCAAGACCATGAGGAACGCAGGGCAGGAGACTGCCACGAGGCCTAATTGAGCTGAGAGGAAGAAAAATCACTGTGAGTTCCTCTGTGGCTTCCTAGCCATGTGGCACTAGTCATCTAACTGCTCTGGGTTTCATTTTCCTCATCTGGAAATGGGAATTCTTCTGAATATTATATACCCACTATCTGTGGGTACAGTTCTCTGTTGGGGGGTCTAGCTGTGATTAGGAATATCGACTTCAAGGCACTTACATTCTTCTAAGGGTGAGAAGAAAGATAATGAACATAAGTGATTAGTGTCATGATGAAAATAAAACAGGGTGATGTGACAGTGGGTAAGGAGGCCCACTTCAGGTGGTCATAGAAGGCCTCTCTGGAGATGACAAGAGGGTCCTAAATATCAAGGAGCCAGACAGGTGAAGATCTGAGAAGAGTGTCTCAGGTGGAAGGGACTGCAAGTGCAAAAGCTTTGAGGCAGGAATGAGCTGGGTGTATTTAAGGATCACAAAGGCCAACCGGCTGGAGCTTGGTGGGAAAGGGGAGCGGGTGGTAAGTAAGAGAGTGCCTACCGCACGAGGACTGCTGGAAGGACCCAATGAGGGGCTATGTGTACTTAACCTGGCAGAGTTAAGTACTGATTATGTGGTAGCTGTTAGTATTTGCTATGTCCTCCCTAAAAGGCAGCAGCAGTCCCAAGGACTGATGCTGTGACAACTGGTTTCTTAAACCTGTCAAGAAGAAATGGCTGAGACCATCAATTACGGGACGGTAGAATAGGAAGCATGGGGGTTCCAATCCTAGTTCTGCCACTTTAAACTCTACAGTCTTGAGCAAGTTACTCTAAGAATGTTTCTTCATCTGAAAATTGGGGGTCACAGTATTTCCTTCATAGAGTTTGTCATAAGGATGAAACACATGTAAAAACACTTAGCACAGTGACCTGTTTCACAGTAAACATTGAATAAATGCCAGCTATTATTATTCTAAAAGCCCTAAGGGAGTGAACGTGCAGTGACTCAGAATTGATCAACTGTCCTGGAGAAGAGTGCCAGCTATCTCTACCCAGGACCAGACTCTTGAGCTTACTAGGGACTGATGCATTCCAGCTGGGGGGAAGCTGAGAGAGGGAAGAACCCACTGCGCTTGGTTAACAAACAGGTGGAATTCTGGACGAGCCACTGCCTGCCCTACAGCCTTGAGCTTCAGTTTTAAGTATAAAATGGAGATAATATATCTCGCTCCTCAGGTAGGGTTCAAGTGAAGAGTAAAAATGCAATGTCTGTGTATATCTTTACAGACTAAACCACTACATGTTGGCCACTATTATTATTAAAGCTGTCACTGTGGTTGAGAACTGCCCTTGGTTTAGTGGCAACTCTGGTGGATTTGAGTTAAAGCCAAAACCCAGTAGTTTTGGTACAAAAGAGCTGAAATGAACATGGAAGCTTCGACTCTGCTGTCCCCTAGGAAGCATGGCACTCTCTCTGACCATAGTCCACTGTAAGGAGAGCTCCAAGTTCTCATATTAAGTTTAACGTCAGTGTGGAGTAGAGGGTGAAGGATGGTGGATTCTCTTTCCTCAGGCACCCGCAAGGCTGAGCTGAGGTTATGTGGTCACAGAATCTGCTCAACCTAAGCTTGCCGTGGGTACCAGACTGCCTGAGGCCATGACCACATATACACTCGTGTGTGGCTCAGGTGCTGGGCATTCCCCCTATAAGTAGGGAAATAATTCCGAGCTTCCTCCCTCTTTGCCCTCCCCAGTCGTTCTGGACTTGTCCATACCTGAGATCCCCACCTCTGCCACCAAGAGATCATCGCTGGAGGCCGAGTTTTCAGCCAGACGCTTGAACTCATCCTGCTTCTCACCGTAGGGGTACTGGGTGTCGAACTTCACCAAGACGAACTTGCTTTTGGGAATGACCTGAGGGTGTATAGAGCTGAGCAAGTGGGGGGGTTTTCCAGAGACCTTTGGGGCTAATTGCCTTTCCCAAGGGACCCTTGGTTAAGCAATGGAGTGGAAAAGCCTACAGAGGAGACAAGCTCTCACATACTGATACTCATTCATCCATCCATCCATCCAGCCAGCCATCCATTGATTCCTTTAACAATTTAGTGGTGCCTACTATGTTCTGGGTACCCCATTAGGTATTTGTTCACCATTATCAAAGACGTATAAAACCTCGTCTAGAATAAACAAAGCTGTGGATGTAGTAAGGCCTTCTCTTCTAGTCACTCTTTTGGTAAGGTTAAGGAAACACTTAGCACACACTTTGGCTCCTTCATGCCCATCATCCCAGTGGGCTTTTCTCAGTAAACACTGAACCAGAAATCTGACACCAACCAACCAACCAACCAACCAATCAAGCAACCAACCACCTATCTATAAAGGAGCTGGTACCACCGAGGATGCTTTGGCAATAGAGCCCAGAGTTTGAACTTTGCAATTTTGGGCTCAAGGGAAGTTACCGAAATGCCATGTTTGGGACAATGTCCTCTCCCTAGACTACAGCTCACTTTGGCTAGATCTCTAGATTCTGTCAGGGCCAATATTTTCAACTGTGAAATTCACATCACCATTTTAAAGTGTACAATTCAGTGAGATTTAGTGTATTAACAATGTTGTGCAACCATCACTAACATCTAGTTCGAGAACATTTTTACCACCCAGAAAGGAACCCTGCACCCAGAACCACACACCCATTAAACAGCCATTCCCTAATCTTTAACCCCAACCCCTAGCAACCACTAATCTGCCTTCTGTCTCTATGGATGTCTACTGATAGAATCATACAATATATGGCCTTTTATGTCTGGCTTATGTCACTTAGCATGTTTTTAAGGTTCATCCATGTTGTAGCACTCATCAGTATTTTGTTCCTTTTTGTGGCCAAATGCTCTACTGTATGGATAGACCACATTTTGCTTAGCCATTCATCAGCTGATGGACACCTGGGATGTTTCCACCTTTTGGATATTTGTGAACAGTGCCGTTATGAACTTTCATGTACAATTTTGTTTGAACACCAGTTTTCATTTCTTTTGTGTATATACCTAGGAGTGGAACTGCAGGGTCATCTGGTAATTCTACGTTTAACATATTGAGGAACTCCAAGGACTTCCTTTTGATGGTTTCTTCCAATGCACAGATTTCATCTAACAAACTGCCTTTGGTCAATAATCCTGCCTTCTCTTCCTCCTACAACTTTTTGTTTTTCTAACCAAAGTGATCTCTGCCAGTCAGTATTTCATCACAGGCAATCACTGTGATTAAGTCAAGCTGACATCACTCCAGTTTTTGTTAGTCCTTGTTCCCTATTGTGTTGCTGTCCATTTGGCTTTAGGTTCTAAAAAATATTTAATACTGCCTAGGGACACAAGGGAAGAGGGAAAAACCACCAAAACAGGTAATCTTTAAGTGGTCACTGGCCCCTAAAATTCTGAGCGCTGGGGGTCTAAAACCAGGGAAGATTTAAAATACAAATCAGATCACATCACTCCTGCCCAACTGGCCTTATTTCAGTTCAACACACCAAACCTATTATACCCACTTAGGGCCTTTCCGTTTGCTGTCCCTGCTGTCTGGAATGCCCTTTCCTCAATTCTTCCCATGGTTGTCTATCATTAAAAGTTCAGTTCAAATAACCCCTCCGAATGGAGAGACCTCCTCCACTCATACTAATACTGCTTCATTTTCATCACTTTCTATTTGTTACCCTGCTCTACTTTCTTTGCTGCATTAATCACTCTTTGAAATCCTTTGTTTGTCCTCTCCACTAGAATGCACATTTATGAGAATAAGGACCTTGTCTGACCTGTTTTCTACTGTATCACTAGTGCCCAACAGTACCTGTATGTAGCAGATGCTCCAAAAATAATTCCTAAAAGAACAAAGCTAGGGCAGACTTTGGTAGCACATGCTACATGTCCAGGGGGAAATTTTTAAAAGTACAACAAGGATCCTACCTGCAAGGAGCCTACATTTGTATTATGGAGTAATAGTAATAGTCATACGGTGCTCTAACATTGAAATAGAACTGATTGAGTGGTCTCCATCTTTTACTTTCACCATTCTTACCAGTGGCTGAATGGTTTTGAATGGCAAGCATTTACACAATGAATTTTGGTTTTAGTTTTTTACTCGGTCTGTACCTCTTAATTGCTTTAGGAATCTCCTCATCCTTGAGGAATTGGCACCACCATAACCTATATTTAGGCAACTTGCTTCTTCAATATACAGATGAATTCATTATTCATTTATTCATTGAATAAAAAAGGTATTGAGGGCCTATCATGTGCGAGGCACTGTTCTAAGTGAATACAGGAGTAAAAAAAAATGGACAGGGTCTCCTATTTCTAGTGACGGCGAAGGGCAAGAAACAAAAAAAGGCACTGGAAATCACGGAAAGGCAAAGCATGGAATGAAGCCTCTGGGCATGAAAACACTAGAAGCTCTCCTTTTGTTCAATGGCAATGAAGAGAGTGAGATTTAGAAAGGGACTGGAGAAACATTTGCTCATTCAACAAATTATTATTGAACATTTTCTATGTGATGGGTTACCCACTAGGTTGTGCAGTTGTTAAGTGAACAAAATAGGCAGGTAGCTCTTCCTATGCATGTAATATTCTAATGTGGGACATAATAAAGTAGACAAGAAAAAAATCAGTGATGAGTGCTGGAGTGAAGAGTGAGCAATCAAACAGGGGAATGTGACTGGCACTTTAGGCTGAGGGAGAGGGAAATCAAGGAAGGTCTCTGAGAAGGCAACATTTAACCTAAGCCTGAATGATGAGAAACAACCAGATTTTCAAAGATTGGGCAAAGAATGTTTTAGTCACAAGTGCAAAGGGCCTACGGCAGGAATGAGCTAAGAATATTTAAAGGACAGAAAACATGTGGCTGGAGTAGAGGGGCAAAAAGGGGGATGGTTAGGAGATGAAAGGAGAGAGAAGCAAGAGTCAGATCATGTAGGACTTAGGCTACTGTGTGGAGAATGGTTTGAGAGGCTCAAGGGTAAAAGCAGGGAGACCAGTGGGGTTACCGTAACGATATCCTTAACCAGAGGGCTAGCAGTAAAGATGAAGAGGCACCAACAGATTAGGAAATACTGTTCACTTTACAGTGCAGTTTCCCTCTAAGTCACACTTGGTCTGTAATGTTATTCCACTCCCATGTTTGGGGGTTAGGGGTGTCACTTTGCCTCTAAAGGTCCCCAAAGCATAGGGCGCTGTGGAGTGTGCCTGACAACCAACCAGCCATTTCCACTTTTAAATTCTTGAAATTCTGCCTTGAATGAGCCACAGGTGCCAAACGCACAAGAAACCCTTCTGAAAATAGGAAGAGTTCAACCATTTGAGATAGATTTAGAACTCAACTTCTTGGTTTCACTTCCTAGCAACGGGTACAGATTAAGAAAATAAAATGACAGGCTCTCTCTCAAACCCTTGGCCTGTCCATTTTGTAGGCAAATTTAAAAGCTGCCAGTGGGTGAAGACAGGTGCGGTGGGGGCGGGGGGGCGGTCGGGGCTGCATTCAGCTCTCAACATTTCCAACGACCATTAAGTCAGGCCAGGACCCCACATTCTGTAAATACGGGGGTGGGAAGTAGTGGCGAATCCTTCCACGTCTTGACACGATTTTAGTCATTTGTCCCAAGTCCAAGATATTCCCTACAGGGTGGCTGAACCGAAGTTTATTCTTAATGCTTGCACTTTTCAAGGAGATTCAGAATATCTGGCATTTTTTGCATATTGCAAAGCAAGCTGCAATTCAAGCCAAGGGAAATGGGGCGCAGAAATGCATGCTCACAAGCCGGGTTTCCACCCCTCCGCCCAACCACAACCAGAACTGTGGCGACCGGCTTGCACCGCCCTCCGGGTCTCCCACTTGGAACTCAAGGATTGGATCTTGCCCGGCACCGCCCTCTCCCCATAGGTGAGGGGAAGGGGTACCCGGTTCCCTGGGCTGCATCTCGGCACCTCTTTTGCAAAGAGGAAACAAAGTACAAATACTGCTAAGGCAACAGCGCGCAGGGACCATGGAGCACGGAGACTCCATGGTCATGATATGGTCTCGGTACAGAGTCCCTCAGCCCTTTGGATGGTGGGAAGCCCCGAGATCGTCGATACAGACCACCTCCTAACAGCCCTCTGTGCCCTATGTCCCCCACAGGTGTGCGCTCCCCTGGGCGCTCTGGCTGCACCTGCGCGCGATGTTCTCCGCCCCCGTTACCTTGTAAAAAGTGACTGTATCCAGGGGAAGGGCACCCTTGGTGTGCAGGCCGCTGCCGCCCTGCGGAGCGGAGAGGAACAAAAGGAACAGGAGAAGGGGAAATAGTGGGGAGAGAGAAGCGGCGCGTAGAATGGCGGCAGCCATAACGCCGGACTCTGGCAGTGGAGGAGCTAGGAAGGCTGTAGTGGAGAGAGCGCAAGACGGGAGTCACGTGACCAGTAAGGCCCGCCCCAGAGGCTCACGCGCGCCTACGGCGAGTGGGTGGGGCCACGTGAGGGGCGGGGAAATGGGGCTGCCGCGCGCGCGCACTCGGCGAAACGCAAACTGGCAGAGCGTGGGGGAGAACGGAGCGACGTGTGTTGAGGTCGTAGGGGAGGGCTGCGCACGCGCACTCGGCGAAGCGCGCCGCCTGCCAATCCTTTTCCCGTGCTCCTCCGCGTGAGGAGAGGCAGGAGGCGCGAACTTTCCGTCTTTGCCGCTCTTGCTTTGCTGTGTTTCGTCGTCTTCGAAGATGACGGTGGCCACTCTCATTTCTTCTTGCCTTTGGTCCGTCGGGCAGTCGGTTAGGATCCGCCACTGCCTTCGGTTAGTCAGTCGGACTGTGTTACTACCCTTCACTCAATTGGCCCAGTAGTACCCTCAGGCAGCCATCCTCCGCGACCTCCCTTAGCCAGGCCCAGAGCTGGCCCGCCAGACTTGGCTCTTCGTCAGCACGGCAGTCAGGGTCACTCTTGCCCTCTGCCTAGTCTGAGAGTTGGGCCTACCCTGAGGTGAGTGTCTCACCTGGGAGGCGCCAGGCTTCACTGAAAATTTTTTTAATTACAATAGTTCTATTCAACAGATACTTGTTCAGGATACAGTTTGTTTACACCAGATCTTGGGTTTGCCTGCCGTAGGAGACAGAGCTATGTACTGAAGGAACTCATAGTGTCGGCGGGAGGAGACAGGAATAGTAATATAACTCATAATATTAACTGGTAGAAAATAAGACTAAAAACACAAATTAAGAGGCAGTCAATCCTGCTCAGAGGAAGTTATTATAGTTAGGAGGCGACTTTTGAATTGGATCTTGAAAGAAGTGGAGGCATTTACGAGGCAAACACCAAAGGATATTTCTAGCAAGGGGAGAAGCATGATGAATCTGTGAAGATTATCTGGGGCGAATTGTAAAGGGTTTCATCAAGCTAAAAGGTTTGGAATCATCAAAGGTTTTCACAAGGAGAGTGACGTCAGATTTATTGTCATTCAGGAGTGAAGACAATGGCTTGGAAGAGTGAAGGCTAAAGACAGGGAGACCAGTTAAGAGTTTTGCAGTAGTCTAGGTGGGAGAGGTTAAGGTCCTACAATAGGACATAATAGTAGGGTTGAAGAAGTAAGTGTGGAATTGAGAAACTTTTATGTAGGGGAGAATTCACAAGACTTGATGAACACATGGATGTGAGGGTAAGGGAGTAATATAATGCTAAGAGGTTTAACACTGTTAACATTGTATGTGTCCAATAAATGTGTGTATAAAATAGTATCAAAGATAATAAGATCCAATCTTGGGCAACCAGTTTGGATAGAAATTTTGAGGGAAAGACTCTGTGTGTGTGTGTGTGTGTGTGTGTTTTGGGGGAGGTTTGGAAATTTCGAGTTTCCCGTAATTGAGTAAAAAGCTACATAGACGAATGATAGAAGTTAGAAGAGGGGAAAATTACTATGGCTAAGGTGGTTAAAGAAGGCTTCATGTAGGGGGTGGAAATGGAGTTAAGCCTTGGAAAGAATATTTTAGGTGGAGAACAAGAAAAGGAGCAAAAGTGTGAATAAGTGTGACACCGGAGAATGACTGGCTTGGCTGGGGAGTTCTCAAAACAGTAAGACAGTTTTAAGCTCAGGTAGGGGACAGTCTTGAAAATTAAACTAAGAATTTCCTTTGTCCTGTAGTCAATAAGGAGTTAAGAGTTTTTAGTACACTTTATAAGACATTTAGACTGTTTTTAAGTTATGCACTCTGATATGTACATACTTTGTATGTATACCTCGTTAATATGATTGATCAGGAATGACTTCCTAGTCATGGCTGGTTTAGAAGTAGGTTTTGAAAAGAAGGATGTGGATTGGTTGGAAAGAGAAGGCTAATATTTGTACTTTTTCTAGGAACTGCAAAAGTACAGTGATTATCTCAATGCTTTTAATAGCGTCCTGATCTCAGTCAGTTAGTTACCTCATGATATGATTAGATTTTTGGCTTCAGGATCTTGACAATCTACACAGATAAGCCAGGTATAATTCATATTTAGGAAGTCATAAAATCTCACAGTTGACACCAATGTGGAAAATCAAAAAGCTCACCCTGGGTATTGTATGGAGATAGGGAGTAGGAGCTGAGACATGTTACATGAGTGTGCACATGACTCAGTGTAGCAGCTGGAGTGAGGAGGAAGAAAAGTGGCATGGTCCGTTAAGTCCATTAGTACATAAACTGTCCCATCTTTTTCCTAACATTATCAAGCCAGTGAGCCCACAGTCTCACCGACTTCTTTGTTATTCTTTGTATTCACAAGGCATATTCCTGCCTCAGGGCCTTTGTACTGGTTTTCTCCCTTTGGAGCACTTTTCTTCTATATATTCATGTGGCTGGCTCCTTCACTTCCCTCAAGTCTTTGCCCAAATGTCATCTTCCTAAGATCTACCCTGACCTTCCTTTAAAAATTGCTCCTCCCTGATACATTTCTGCTTTCCATCTGTTATTTTTTCTCTATAGCACTTTTCAAATTAACATACTGTATAATTTGCTTATTTTTTAATTATCCGTTTCCCATGAGGGCTGGACTTTTGTTTTTTTATCTATATCCCCAGCATCTAGAACAACATTGGCACATGGTAAGTGCTCAGTCAGTACTTGTTAAGAGGAACTAGTCCATGACTGTCTCTCAAAATTACACTGGCCTTTTCTACATTCTCTTCTTAGACCGCATATTGTTCTTCAGAGGTCCCTTAGAGCTAATTGTTTTTTTCCCTGCAATGTTTTGTTGATGTTGATATTAATTCTCTGACATAGATGTCTTAACACTTAAAGCAGATTTCACCTGTTAAAAAATGTTGTAGATGGAAGGTTTACTTCATAGTACGATTTTCTCCAAGCCCTTTCTTTAAGAATTATTTAAATATTTAACAGCTATTTACTGAACATCTTTCATGTGCCATACACATCTAGAGGTAAGGGTTATACCGATGAACAAAATAGATGTGCTCCCTGTAGTCTTTATGGGGGAGACTATAACATTAAAGAATTACACAAATAAATATATAATTACAAATTGTGATAATTTCTAAGAAAAATGGAAAGAATATGAAAGAATATTGAAAGAATATAATGGGAGATAAATTTGGATTGGAGTTCATGGAAAACCTCTACAAACAGGTATATTTAAGCTAACACCTAAAGCATGAATACGATTCAGCTCTCAAGGAACTTAACCTAATGAGACAGACATTAAATAATTATATTAATAAAGACAAAATTGCAGATTTTTCTGAATCATTTTAGGAAAAGAAAACAGCATGAGCAAAGGTTCTAGGGTGAAAAAAAGCATGAAGTATTTGAGGAACTAAAAGAATTCTACTCTGGGATCTGTCCTTTAGTAATAAAGTCATCAGCACAGAAGAAGATTATATGTGCAGGGATGTAGAAATTTTTACTGCAGCATTGTTTGAAGAAGCAAAAAAGGAAGGAAAAAAAGTGAAAAAATCTGAAAACAACCTACATGTCTAGGAAATGTTGATAAATGACCTTATGTGGAATATTATACAGCTGTCATGTGGGTTAGAACTATTTCTTTTAAAGTGAACAGATATCCATGAAATAATAGCTGAGAAAAGCAATATATACAAAAATATATGATCTCATTTTTAAAAACTTACTACCATAAGAATAGCCCCCATAATGTATGTATATATTTGGATATGTTTTAATGAGCATAGAGAAAGATGTAGAGAAATACACCAGGCTGTTAGCATTGGTTATAGTCCAGGGGAGTGGAGAGAAAGAAAAAAAGACTAACAAAAGGGAAGAAATTATTATGGAATAATGTTGAGCAAAAATGTATAATATAAAATACTAGCTGTAGAATTACTATATGTACAAATTGAATTACTATATGTAGAATTACTATATGTACATATAGGCATGGACAAGGACTTAAAGTAACCAATAAATAAAACATTGTTTTGACTAGACGAGATTTCAGGAAATTTATTTTGAATTTCTGTTGTTTTAATATTGTTTTTCAATAGTGTAATATTAAAAAACTCATGGAGTTTTTAATATCCAGGGACCAAATCATTTCAGCACAGATATTTTTCTTTCTCCTTTTATCCCACTTTTAATTCACGTTATTTCATCATTACGTACTCTTGTAAGCCACAAAAACAAGATATTTTGGAATTTCATAAGTGTTACATCTTTAAGGTGATATTTGAGTTTATACTTGATGAATGAGAAGGAGCCAGTTATGTGATTATCTGGGGGAAGAGCATTCCAGAGAGAGGGAACAGCTATTGCAAATGATCTGAACTGGAAAAGTTCCTTGACATGTTGGATTACCCAAGAGTGGTGGGCAGACCCTAAGATGGCCCCCAATGATTCCTGTCTCTTGATTGTCGCACTCTTATGTAATCCTCAACCCTTGAGTGTTGGCAAGATCTATGATCAATAGAATATAGGAAGGGTGATGGCAAGTCACTTCAGCGATTTGGTTACGTAAGATCGTGACTTCCATCTTGCTAGGAGGACATCTTGCAGAAGTCCACGTGGCAAAGAACTGAGTGTAGCCTTTGGCCAACATTTAGGAACTGAGGACCTCAGACCAACAACCCTCAAGGAAATGAATTAGACCAACAACTACATGAACTTGGAAGCAGATCCTTCTCCATTTGAATATTTAGATGAGACCCAGCCCTGGTCAACATTTGATTACAGCCTTGTGAGAGAGACTGAAGCAGAGGACCCAACTAAAGCTAGTCTTGGATTCCTGACCCACATGAGATGTAAGATAATGTGTGTTTTAAGCCACCAAATTTGTGGAAATTTGTTATGCAGCAATAGATAAGTAGCATACAATTTGATAATTATGCCTACTATATTTTCTTTTAAGTCATTGATGACAGTGTTTCACAGAACAATGCCAAGTCAGAATGCTGGTTCACTCTACTAGAAGTCATTTTTAAATCGATATTGATCAATGAATTAGCACTCCCTTGGGTTTATTTGTTCAAGAAATGCCCTTATAATGCTTCTACTTGGTCTATTTCTCATCAAATGTTTTGTCAAAATACCATATATAACTATGTCTAATAATTCTATTCAAAAAGAGAATAGGGTTAGCCAGGCATGATTATTTATAAATCCTTGCTGACTTAGTGGTTACATTTTTCTAAGTGTTTAAAAACATATCTTTTGGATAGTTCATTCTAGAATCTTATCTGGGATCAATGCTAGGATCTTTCACTTATGGTTTGCAGATTCTATCCTTTCTCTTTCTAAAAATAAAGAAAATTACTTATCACCAGTTTTCTGCAACTTCTAACAGTTTTCCCATTTTTACACGAACTCTCCAGATTTCATTCAATGGTTTACTAGGTTAACCTCCAAACTTTATCAAAGTCCTGGAGTGTAATTTGTTCAGGCCAGGAGTGGTGGATTCATTTAGAGAAGTCAGGTGCTCTTCTACAATCTTTATCTTCAGTTCCCTCTTGCAATGTTTATTTTACACTTTTTAATCTAAGTATTACTCTTTTTCAATAAGAAAGACAGAAACATGTTATCCATTAATCGTTACACCATGCATTTCAGCAATGGGACATTTCCTTGTTTTTGTCTCAAATTTTATTTTTTTGGCAACAGCTTTATTGAGATATAATTCATGTACCATTATAATTTATCTGTTTAAAGTATACATTTCAATGGCTTTTAGTATATTCGTTGAGTTTTGCAACCATCACCACTAATTTTAGAATATTTTTGTCACCCTGAAAAGAAACGCTGTGCAGTCATTCCCCATTCCCTCCCAAACTACCTTCCTGGTTCTAGGCAACCACTAATTTACTTTCTGTCTTTATAAATTTGCCTATTTTAGACATTTCATATGAATGGAATCATACAATATGTGGTCTCTTGTGACTGACTTTTTTCACTTAGCATAGTGTTTTCAAGTTTCACTCATGTTGTAGCACGTATCAGTACTTTCCTTTAAATTGCTGAATAATATTCCATTGTATGGATAGACCACATTTTATTTATCCAGTTGATGGACATTTGTATTGTTTCTACTTTTTTGTCTATTATAAATAACACTATGAACATTTGTGTCCAAGTTTTTGTGAGGACATATGTTTTATATTCTCTTGGATATATACTAAGGAGTAGAACCGGATTTATACCTAGGAGCTGAGTCATATAGTATATGTTTCACCATTTGAGAAACTGCCAAAGTGGCTGCAGTATTTGACATTCCCATCAGCAGTGTATGAGTGTTCCCATTTCTCCATATCTTCATCCACACTTGATATTGTTTATTTTTTTTCTTATAGCCTTCCTAGTATGCCATCACATTGTGATTTTAATTTATATTTTCCTGATGGTTTATTATGTTGATCATCTTTGCATGTGCTTATTAGTCATTTGCATATTTTGGGAGGGAAAATCTCTATTTAAAACTTTTACCTGTTTTTAAATTGGGTTATATTTTTATTGAGTTGTAGGAGTTCCTTATATATTCTTTATACAAATCTTTTATTAGATATATCGTTTACAAATATTTTCCATTCTGTAGGTTGCCTTTTCACTTTTTTGAGAATATTCTTTGAAGCAGAAAATGTTTTAATTTTGAAGACCAGTTTTTCTTTTGTTGCTCGCTCGCACTTTTGTCTAAGAAGGAATTGCCTAATAAAAGAGCTCTCAATGTCATGTTAATTTTTAAAATTGTCTTTCTATTTTCTCCCATTTGCCAGTTCCCTGTTAGAATACTATAGGTGTTAAGAGTGAGAAGTCAAACTGACAGAGTTTGAATGTTGGTATTACCACTTGATAACTCTGTAACCATAGAGAAGTGACTGTTTTAAGTCTCAGTTTCATCTGTAAAATGGGAATACTACTACTTCTTACCTCATAGGTTGTGTTGAGGATTAAAATGCTTAGAATGGAGCCTTACATATAGAAAGCACTTAATAGTTGGCAGCTGTTATTACTAGAAACCTCCTTTGAGTTGAGTATTTTTGCTTAAATAGAAATATTTGACTAGGCAGGTATTTTTCTTGACTTTGTATCCAGCGCATTAACTTCCTCGTGATAGAAGTTTAATGAATATCTGTTAACTTAAGTTGATATGTAATACATAGTAGCCCATTATGTTAATTGAGAGCTGGGATGTGTTTGACCTTGCTAAGGAGATCAGTAGAAAGAGGAGAAGAGAAACTGGAAGTAAATATCACCCACTTCATCATCTGGGCTTGAGTTAACCCTCCTGGAAAAGGAAGATGGGAAGATTGTTTCTAAAGGCATTTCAAAGAGGATGGTGCTGAATATCCAGAAAGCATAAGACATTTTAGAAGGGATGCCAAAAGAGAAAAGTTCTATCAAGAGCAGCAGATGGATCTGGCATGGCCGTTCTCTGAACAATTTGAGATTTGTTCTTTACTGAGACAAAGAGTCCTTTGTCCAAAAGCATTCTTGGTGAGACTGTCATTAGTCTCCTCACCCTTATTACATGGATATATGATTAAGGGCCTCAAAATACTCCCTAAGTCCTATGGTAGGGATTTCTGATCCAGAAATTTACTGTTATTTTTAAAATTTGTTTATTTAATAATTTAAGGAAAGTGATTTAGAGCTTACCTCCACCTAACAATCCATCCTCTACTCCACATGACATTCTCAACCTCATATGAATAGTCATATATTTAAATTACTCAAGCCCTGCAAATGACCTAATTTATCAATAAATATTTGTAGAATATATGAAAGTATGGTTAGATGAAATAACTGGTTGCATAAATGCAGTGTTCTTCCTTCTACTTTCTCCTTCCCCCAATCTTTGTCCAAATTTTACCAGTTCTTAAAATTCTGTTCAAATACCAGTCAGTGTATATTATTTTTATGTGCAAATAATTTGAAATTTTGTAATTCAAGCCATTTTTCCTATTATAAGCTCATGGAGGTATGAGTTTGTATCTTATTTGTCTTTATATCTTCCATAACAATGCTTTGCATAAAGTCGCTATATAAACATACATATATTAGATGAACTGTGTAATTTAATTATATAATTCTGGTGGGTATTTTTGGTACAGAATATTGGAGATGTTAGTATTAAATGAGACATTAATAACTTCACAGCTTTTTCATGATATTACTAAAAATTTATTGTTTGAGTGAATGTGCAATCTCTCTTTCTCATCACAGGCTTCTGTCTCTAAACAGGGACAAGTTTTAAGCAAACCTCCGTTCCCCATTTTTCTCTCTCTATCTCTCTTGCAGCTCTATTTACCTTTTCACTATGACTCATTCTCTCTACTTTTTATTATTCCTTCCTCTTGGCCCTTCTTACAATTCCTAATGCTTTTTAGAATTTTGTTTCCTTGTCACCTGCTCTTTCTATTTTTGTTCTTTCTGCTTGACTTTCTCCTCCACTTGTTGCCACCTTCTCTCTCCTTGCCCTCAAGATACAGGGCAGGATTGGTTAGGGAGGAGTCCAGCTAGAGTAGGGGTGGAGCCACCTGTTTACCCTTTGGAGATTCAGAACCTGACCGAGAAAGATCGGGCTACTTAAGTATAGCTGGGGCTGAAGTCCCTATGGCCTTCCTACTGGAGGCTAGCATTCTGGAGGACAATTTAGACTTGGTAAGATTAGAAACTGTCCCTCTCTTCTCTTTTTGCTCCCCCTTTCTTCCTCAATGTTCTGTATTTTTCATTCATAATATCTCTCTCTCCATACGATTAACTTTTCTTCTTCCTATTTCTCTATTGCTTAGTATTCTGTTTTCCTCTGTCAGCTCTGCCAGTCAACCGTATTCAGTACTTGTTTGCCTTTCCTGTTACCCATTCTTTCCATACATTTGCCCAGTCTCTCTGAAAATTTAACCTTTTCTATTTCTTCTCCATTTTATTCTTTTATTAATTTTCTCAAACAATTCTCTTTTTTTTCACTCAGTCATTTTCTATTCACCTCTCCATTCTTTTTATCTGTTTCCCTGAGATGTAACAATAAAAGAGGAAAAAAGGAACCACTCTGCCTTTCCAGGGGCCTATTCACCACCTTTCTACTCATTCTGAGACATGCAGTGTGTTTTGATTAGGCACTGAAGAAGAGTTTGTGCTCTGCACATGTAGTTAGTAAACAGTGAAACTTAAGTAAAGTTGAATATTAAATGTAAAAGACTTCATTTTGTTCTCCCTTTCTCGTTTTGTTTAGGTTTATTCTGCAATACAGTGGATACAGTTTGTTATGGCTACTCTGAGGTAAGTTTATTTAATCTCATGTAATATGACTGTTTAAAACTAGTATAAACAAAACTGGAGAATCCTGACGTTGTCTACATTTTTTTCCTCTTGGGATTTGCTTTTATTCTTTAGTTAGAGAGAAATGCTATTCTTTACCACATTGATATTTTCTGATTAATAAAATGTAACAACATTAATAATAACAACAACAACAAAAACAGATAGAGGAGGTAACACCTGAAAATTAAAGGACAGCTTGGTCAACAAGATTGCCTTGCAAAATCAATGTTTTGGTAGCACATATACTAAAAACTGGAATGATGCAGAGATTAGCGTGACCCCTGCACAAGGATGACACTCAAATTCATAAAGTATTCCATACTTTTAAAAAAACATGTGCAGTTTATATCAAGTATATATCAGTAAAGCTATAAAAAATAAAAGGCAAAAATGAAGGATTCTTAATTGTTCTGTTTTATTGATCATCTTTTATCTCTGTCAGTGTCATAGGTTCAAGTTCACTTATTGCCTATGCTGTTTTCCAGAATATACAGAAATCTCCAGAGGTGAGCAATCTGTTTTTGTGTTGGATTTGAACTTTTAATGACTTAGCCTTTGATATAATTAAGAGAGGTGTCACCTACAAATGATGGAATAATTCTATGAATTACTTGTACATTTGTCATTATTGAGATATTTTAGATACTGTCAGTAGGTCTTCCTTTTCTTCTTATTGATTTTTTAAACTATAACTTTGAATACTGAGAGATTGACTGCTAAATGTGGATTTTTCTGATATGCGTAAATTATTAAGGTTGAGGAAACAGTGTTGTTTGAAGCCTATATTCACTCTAAGCATGGTAAGGTCCTGCTTTGAGGTGAGTTTTCTAATGTTGCTATGTTGGTAAATTGCTAAGAAATAGTTCAAAGACTTTACTATACAAAAGGTACTTGTTTTGCTGTTCTGGCTGTCTAGGCAATTACAATTTAATGCTGAAAACAGAGCAAAAAAACATCCTATGTAAAACAACTCATACCAAAAAGATGATGTCAAAAACCTTCTTTTTATTGAGGTATAATTGACAAATAAAAATTGTACATATTTAAGATGTAAAAAAAACCCCAAAACCTTTTGCAATTCAGAGAGGACCAGGTGAAGTAATGAATGTGCTAGTTCAGAAAAGATTTTAAGAGAAATGTAACAACCGTTTCTCTAACCAGGCCAAGTGGCACAAAATTAGGTAAAACGTAGTTTAGGACACTTACGGGAAAACTTTTATATGTGGAAAATTTCATTGGGTTTTGGTGGGCTCACTTTAAAAATAAAAATAGCTCTGTATGTTGAACACTTACTGTGTTCCAACTATGCTGAGTGCTTTATGTACTTTATCTTGTTAGTCCTCATCATCACTCTCCTATGAGGGCAGTATTAGCCCTATCTCGCAGATGACGAAATCGATGCTTAAAGTCATGAGATTAACTTGTTCAAGTTACACAGTAAGTAGCAGAGCAGGGATTTTCAAGAGTCCAGCTCTTAACTACAATCCCCTTCAAATTAAACCAATTTTTACTATTTACTATATTCTAGACACATGTACTCAGTGTTTTAAATACATTTTTCATTTAATCCTTAAAACAATATTCTGAGGTAGATACTATAGATGAGGAAATGTAATCTTAATAAAGTTGAGGGACTTTCCTTAGGACTTACAGCTAGTGTTAGAGCTAGAATTTGAGTGCAGACTTATCTTGTTCCAAAGCCTCTCCCCCCATACACTTTTTAAACCACTGAAATATGCTGCCTACTGAAAAGAGAATTTTGTATTTTGTAGAATGTGACTATGTAAATAGAACTAGAAAGTAGAAATCTCCATACTGTATCATCATTGCCTGCCAAAGTTCTGTTAGGCCACACAGCTTCCTGTGATTCAGATTGCCCTAATGTTTGTTTCCTTTGTTGCAGTTTGAGCTCAGATGTGATTAAGTTAATAAAGTATAAATTGCATAGTGGAGAGAGCTAAGCAGAGATTCTCAGTCTCAACACGGTTGACCTTTTGGGCTAGATCGTAATTTGGTATGGGGAGCTGTCCTGTGCATTAGAGTGTTTAGTTGACTTTACCCACTAGATGCTTGTAGCAACATCCCCACCCCCACCCCTGGCCCAACTGTGACAGCCAAAAATATATTCAAATATTGTCAGATGTCTCCTGGAAGAGGAATAATTGCTCCTGGTTGAGAACCACTGTTCTGAGGTGACCTCTGGCATGACAGTAGGTTAGAGCTTTGTAAAGATGTGGGGTCAAGTTTGACTTAGGATGTGACCTTTAATTTCTCTGGCTTCAGTTCTCACACCTTTCATATAACCAGAGCCTAAAGGACCGCAGCAATCACTGGTTCAGCGGTTGCCATACATTCTGTTTTCTTAGCCTAGGAAAGATCCAATTTTTTCAGGTTAAAAATGTCAGCTATACTTTGCTATTTTCCTTTATTTCTTCATCAAAGAACATTTTTAACAGCAAAAACACATAGAAGGCATAATTTAAAAAAAACAAAAATACTCTATTAAGTTAAAAATAATTATAGTAAATTTGAAAAATCCATGGTGAATCTTTGAGGGGATTAGCTACTTAGAAAGTGACTCAAAGACAACCAGAAGAGAGAAGAAAGTGGCTTAGGCTGGTCAATGCTGGGGGTGGGAGTGAGGGCAAAAAACAACTGTAGGCAGATATACTTTACTGCATTGTGCAACTTCATTTCCTCATAAAGGTCACTTTTGATATTCTTTGTAACTTGATTTCATTTGAACAGAGGTATTGGAAAGCAAGGTTTTAGAAGAGTATTAGTATGAGTTGTTTTAGATCTCACCAGGATAGACCTGGACCCAGAACCTCCTTGAGAAAGGCTTTCACGCAGTACATCCACACCCTCCATTCTGCTCTTGATTTAAATTAGCCAAGTACAAGAGAGAGAATGTGTGTGTGGGCGGGGAGGAGGGGTTTCCAGAGTTTTTGCTTTCATATTTAGAGACTGTGTCTTATGCTTTTTTGTGTCTTCCTTATTCCCAAGCACTGCGCTATTTTCCATGGACTATATCATACATTTCTTTGTATTACCTTCACCATAGTATCTTATTAAACATAGATAGGTGTGAGATCTTTCTTGATTTCAGTAATAGGTGCTCAGTTCATTTTTGTTGCGTAAATTGATTGATTTTTATCTCCTTTTACTAGAACTCATGATTTTACAACCATGAGAGAAAGTATGTAAACCTCTTTTTATTCTTTTTCCCTGACAAAGACTTTAAGTGTGCTTTAGTGGTCAACTGTTCCCTATATATAAGGCTATTTCTTGCATTAATGACCATAATTATGTTCTTGCTCACAAAAGCCACTTGACTGACTTTCTTCTCCAGGGTTTATTTTGTATTGTTTTAATATTTTACCCGTTAACAGTTATAAACTTGTGGTAGGTCATAGGTTAGTTGAATCTGTGAATGTGCCATCCAGCTGTCATTTTAGCAGGTTTACCCAGAGCAAAGGCTATATATAGTAAAGATAATACTATTTGATATTTATTAAATGCAGTTTAAAATGTTAATTCACTTGATTTTGTTTCGGTAGCCAAGGCAACTTGATCATTTACACCTGTTAGCAAGGTATTAGCATCTTAACTTTCCTTTCATTTAGAAGAAAGATTTGAGAAAAATTCCCATTTGTACAAGTGAGATTAGTTTTAATATTAGGTAGTATCTGAAGATAACTTAAATTTTTTAAAATTTACTTTTTCTTGTGAGATATGTCAGACATGGATTAGAATGCATAATACATGTATGTATTTATTGTTTAAAGAATGATTATATGATTATAAACAAACACTAGGGACAAGAAATAGAAATCGCCTGTACCCTCAAGCATGCCTGCTAATGTTCCTTCCCAATCACAGTTCTCCCCCTCACCTCTAGAGATAACCACTATCCAGAGTTTTGTAATAATCATTTATTTACTTTTATATACATTTTTACCAGTAATGTACATATCTCTAAACACTTGAGTGTTTCTTGCTTTTGAACTTAACATAAATGGAATAATAATGTATTTTTTGTATGTATTGTTTTGTGATTTACTTTTTTTCCTCAATATTATTTGTGAGATTTATCCATGTTGTTGTTTATAGCTCTGGTTCATTTCATTTTCATTGATGTTTAGCATTCTGTATTATGAACATACCACAATATATCTGTGCTGCTATAAACAATCTTGTACATGTTTTCTGGTGTACACATGCAAAAATTTCTTGAATGTATTTTTCTAATAACAGAATTGTTATCGGATATGCATATCTCATAGATAATGCCAAACTTTTCTAAATGATTGTGCCAGCAGTGTATGAAAGGTCCCATTGCTTCATATTCCTATTAATACTTGATATTGTCAGACTTTAAAAATTTTTGTCATGAGTGCATAATTTTTTTCTCATTGTGGTTTTAATTTTCATTTCCTTAATTATTGATAAAGTCAGGCATATTTTCATGGATTTATGTCCATTTGGATTTCCTCCTTTCTTAAATATCTGTTCAAATCTTTTGCCCATTTTTTCCATTGGGTTTTCTTATTGCTTTGTAATTTTTTTGTTTGTTTTTAATATTGTTTGCATATTGGTCTTCTGTCAGTTACATGTACTACAAATATCGTCTCCCACTTTGTGGCATGTCTTTTCACATTCTTTATGGCATATTTTGACACATACATTTTTCATTTTAATGTAGTCAAAATTTTCATTATTTCTTTTAGAGCTTTTTTTTGTTTTGTTTAGGAACACTTTGCCTACTCAGAAGTTGAAGACATTTCGGTGTTTCAACTAGTTGGAACCTCAGAAGTTGAAGACATTTCGGTGTTTCAACTAGTTGGAACTGATTTTTAAGTGAGAGGTAAAAACTAAGGTTCCAATTTTATTTTTATCCATGTAGATACCCAGTTGTTCTAGCATCATATTTTGGAAAGACTATCTTTTTCTATTGATCCAAAAAGCCACCTATATTATATATCAAAAGTTTATATGTATGCTTGGATTTGTTTTGGGTTCTTTATTCTGTTCCATTGATTTGTTTCTCCATCCCTAAGCTTAGTACCACAGTATCTACACTACAGCTTTATATTAAGCTTCTATATATGTAGGATAAGTCTTCTTTATTTTTTTCCTTCAAGTATCTTGCCTGATATTTCTTCAAGAGGTTATCTTGATATTATAATTGAGATTGCATAAATAGGGAAACTTATAAGATGAATAAGGTCAGAAGACCTAATGTATAACATAGTGACTATGTATACCATGATAACATGATAACACTGTATTGTATAATTCAAATTTGCTGAGAGTAAGACTTAAATGTTCTTACTCCCCCAACTCCCCGCAAAAGGTAAATATGTGAGGAGATGGGTGTCTTAATTAATTCAGGGGAAATCCTTTTACAATGTATATGTCTATCAAATCATAATGTTGTGCACTTTAAATATCTCATAATTTTATTTGTCAGTTATACCTCAACAAAGAAAAAAAAGAAATATGCACATTAAATTATATTAAGATTAAAAAAAACTGTTTTCATTTTCTTTGGGTCCTCAACCATATCCCTAAACGTTCCACTGATGTCCTCTTGTTAGAAGCTGTTGGCTGTGTAACTAGAACACTTTCAATTTTTTATTTGTGGTATATCTCCATCACAAAATTTATCATCTGTCCATTTTTTATTTGACCCTATATCTGAAGAAGGAGTGTCTCTGTGAGGAAGAAGTTCCAATGCTAATCCATCTGTAAGCACTCTGATTCCAGGACACTTGGGATAGTTGTGATTACAGATTCCTTCCTACCTGGTATATTTCTTTACATTCCTCACAGTCGACCAGTGGCAGAGGCCCCAGAAAAATGATGTCCAGTTTTCTACTAGAAAGGTAAAATATAAAAATAATTCGTTATTAACATCATTTCTGAAATGAGGCCTTTGTTGCATTGACAGATAAAGCCACTCTTTTATCTGAGCTTCTCTGACCTCCTCCTGGGGATATGCTGTCTCATTGAGGTACTTCTCTATGGAACTTCAGCAGCCAATAAGGACATAATCTGCTATAACCTGCAAGCAATTGGTCAGGTGAGTACTACTAGATTGTAACTGCAAAAATGCACACTCAGATAAATAGGAAGCAAAGATAAAGTGGGACCCTTTTGTTTATTGTTATACTTTGAAACAAAAGCTTTGTTTTTCCATACTAAAAGAGACTACATGTTTATTATAGAAATTTGGAAAATTCAGAGAACCAAAAGGATAATTAAAATCACCCAGATATACTGTCTTCACTATTTCATATATATTATGTATCTGTATATTTATATGTTTTATATTATTTAAAATGCATATACTCACAGGGAATTATAATAATGCATTAATACTTTTATAATCTGCTTTATTATTCAACATATCATGACCATATTTCCATGTAATGAAATATTCTTCTATAACAGCTTTTGAAATTACTACATGGTTTTTTATTGTAGACATGTAGATATTGGCTTTTGGAAATACTACGGATGATCGTATATGGTTTATATATCATTCATAGATTTTATCAATGGATTAACACACACAGTGCCATCAGTGTATATAATGTTCTTTTATATTTTCTGAGACTTCGAATGTGAAAAAAGTAGAGATTAAAATTCAGTCTGTATTCACTGCTAGATGTTTCCTCTGGGATTTGTTGCTAGAGGGGAAATTTCTTTCAATTTAGTAGGAAAATAATATGTAATTGGTGGTATGAAATCCATGTGCTAATGTGTTACCTATCTCATATGAATTAGAATTTCTTAGAAACATATTTTACTCAATCCTGCTAATAACCTCATAAATTAAGTGGAGTTAAGCCTGTATTATTTTATCAGATAAGGGAATGATATTATGGTCTTAGAGATAAGAAAAGTCTACATTAGAATCCTGGACCTGATTAACTTTGTAAACTTAAGCAAGTACTTAATCTTTCTGAATTTCTGTCTTCTAATCTATAAAATGGTCATTAAAAACATTTTCCTTGTGCTAGGCATAGTTATGATTAAGATCACTTTATTTTTTTATAACTTAATTAAGCTATACATACAATAAACTTTGTATATATAAAGTATATAATTTGATCATTTTTTACATATGTATACACGCCCATGAATTCATCACCACAATCAAGATAAACATTCCTATTTTTATCACCCCCCCAAATCATTTCAAATATATTTTCTTTTGCTTCATAGACCACATAAATTATAATAGTTGTTTTTTAAAATATTTATTGACTGTTTCCAATATCTGCCTCATGTCTAAGTTGGTGTTTGTTGATTGTTTGCTCCCATGAGAATGGGTGACATTTTTTTGATCTGTGTATGTCAGGTAAAACAGGATTTCATCTTAGACATTGTGAATACTATGTTGCATAGACTCTGGGTCCTTTTATAATCTCTGGAGAATGCTAGTGTTTTTATTTAGCAGGCCATCAACCTAATCAGGTTTAGAATGTGCATTTGTCTAATCATCTTTAGGTGGAGTTTCAAATAGTCAGCTTCTCTAAACCTTGCTTGTGCTGGTTTAGGACTGCAGTGTGCATTCATGGTGCAGGGGTTAGGCCGAGACTCGCATGGAATTATACCAGAATTAGAGAATCCTCTTTTCTGGCTCTGTCACTTTTGGGATTCCACCTCCTGCCACTTTCCTGCCTGAAGGTGGCCCCTCTCTGGTCTCTGTGGCCTAAAAGATGGATTTCTATTAGAGTTTTAGGTGCCTTCATTCAGCAGTATCATGATTAGTGTACACACTTGAGGCAAAGCTGTGGGAGAGAACGAGAAAAAAATGTTTGAGAAACTCACTTCAGTGCAGTCACTTCTCCACGTTTGACTCTCTTCCACAATCAACCTACTTTTTTTTACTTTTTAGTCTTCAAGTAGTTGATTTTTATATTTTCCCCAGAGTTTTTGTTCATAATCAGTGGGAGAGATAGGCTGTAGAGACCTTAAACACACTAGCGTATTTAGTTAGTTTTATTTTTTAATCCTAAAATATATACAACATATAATTTATATTTTATCAATTTTTTTTTAAATTTTGGTAAAAAATCATATAACAAATATTTATCATCTTAACCATTTTTAAGTGTACAGTTCAGTGGCATGAAGTATATTCACATGCTTGACCAGGTCAGGACAACAGTCTGCTCTAAGAAACAGCATGTAGTGGGAGACAGGGCAGGGGTGCCAATTTACCTCTATTACCTCTATTCAGCTCCATAAAGTTTTATCATGCCACAGTGAAACTCTGTATCTATTAAACAATAACTCTCCATATCTCCCACCTCCCAACCCCTGGTAACCACCATTCTACTTTCTGTCTCTATGAATTTGACTACTCTAGGTACTTTATATCAGTGGAATCATATATTATTAGAACACACAGACCCAAGGAAAAATCTCTGAGACCGAAAATCTGTCCGTAAGTAGCAGGCAGGATAAGAAGGAAGAGGCAGGCCACTCCAGTCTGGAAATTAATAGAGTTGATTAAGGGAAACTTATGTATGGGGCACACATTGAGTGGCTAAAAGACAAAATGGATATCCTTCTAGCAGCTTGGCAGGTGCCAAAGAATTATATTGGGTAAAAGGGTAAATAAATCACGGGTACTAGTATGTGAATGGCACCAGGTATGGGAAATTACATGCTTGACCAGGTCAGGACAACAGTCTGCTCTAAGAAACAGCATGTAGTGGGAGACAGGGCAGGGGTGCCAATTTACATCAGAAAGAACATCGATTATGATCAAACAGTCTCTATGAGGGAATTGTGGTAAGTAGTCTCAGCGGTTATGTCATGGAAAAGCCTCTCCACGTCATTCAGTAGTTGTCCTTTTGCATCTAGCTTATTTCACTTAGCTTAATGTCTTCAAGGTTCATCCATATTGTAGCACATGTCAGAATTTCATTTCTTTAGAAGGCTAAATAGTATTCAGTGGCATGGATATACCACATTTTATCGATTGATTCATCCATTGATGGACACTTGAGTTTCTTCCATCCTTGGCTGTGGTGGATAATGCTGATATGAACATGTGTATACAAATACCTTTATTAGTCCCTGCTTTCAGTACTTTCATCTGTATATCTAGAAGTGGATTGCTGGAGCAAATGAAAATTCTGTGTTTAATATTTTGAAGAGCCACTGTATTGTTTCCATAGCAGTTACATCATTTTACAATTCCACTGTGTAAGGGTTCCAATTATTCACATTTGCGCCAACACGTGTTGTTTTCTGGGGCTTTTTGTTTTTCGGGTTTTTTTTTTTTTTTTTTGATAATTTATATCCTAATGGGTGTAAAGTGGTACTCGTTGTAGTTTTGACTTAAATTTTCCTATGATTAGTGATGCTAAATATTTTTACATGTCCTGATTGGCCATTTGTATATCTTTTTTGGAGAAATGTCTATTGAAATTCTTTTCCCATTTTTTGAAAATGGATTTTCGTTTTTCATTGTTGATTTATAGGAGTTCTTTATATATTCTGAATATTAATCCATTATCAGATATATGATTTGCAAATATTTTCTCCCATGCTCTTGTAGATTGCCTTTTCACTGTGTTGATTATGTACTTTGATGCACAAAAATGTTTAATTTTTTTTTTAGGCAAGGCAACCCTTGGTTGACCTCACAGATTGCAAGGACCTTGTCAGCTTACAATCCCTTATTTTTTTATTTTTTATGTCTACAGCACCTGGTCTTCCTAGGTGGTCTCCCATCCAAGTACTAACCAGGCCTGACCCTGCTTAGCTTCCAAGATCAGACAGGATCGGGCTTGTTCAGGGTGGCATGGCCGTAGACCAAAAGTGTTTAATTTTCATGTAGCCCAATTTATTATTTCTTTTGTTCCCTGTACTTTTAATGTCATATTCAAGAAATCATTGCTAAGCCTAAAGTACTAAAGTAATGCAGCTTCTCCCCTATGTTTTCTTCTTTTAGGTTTAGATTTTAGGTTTCGATTTTTGACCTATTTCGAGTTAATTTTTGTATATGGTATAAAGTAAGGGTCTAACTTCATTCATGTACATATAGATATCTAGTTTTTCCAGTACAATTTATTGAAAAGACTGTCATTTTCCCATTGAATGTCATTATTGCTTAAAATATCACTAAAGAATATGGTAGTTTTCTACAGGGTTGCTATAGAATATAGTTCCTAATTAACAATGAGGTGGAATAGAACTGCCATTGTCCCTCAAAATTCTAAATCCTGTGGCTTAAAAATAACACCTGTATAAAAATTGCTTCTTGTCTGGTTTTTCTTTTTCTTTCTCTTTTGAATTAAGAAAATTGAGTAGATAGGTATCTTTGATAACTTGGAGAAGATTTTAAATGATTAAGCTGTGTTTGAAATGATTTAAAAATTGAATAAAAAACAGTATTGATGGGAAATCAAATTATTATAAACATTCTACAGTACCCTGAGATTGTATGTATTTCTTGGCCCAATTGTCACATTCCTGGAAATTCTCATCTAAAGAGATACCACAGAAAGTTATCTCAAAGTTATACACTGGAAAATGTTTATCTTAATCTTATTTATAATGGCTATAAATTTTAAACAACTTAATGTTAACTGATGACATATATATAGTACATTTATACTATATTAAATATTAAGTAAATTATAGTATGTAGAATATAAGGTAGTCATTAAAATTAATGATGTAAAACTTTATTTACACAAAAAGATGAATGTCCATCTGTAAAACAAAATCTGTGATCAAATACATATCAATAAATACACATTTAGACTCAGTTAAATATAGGTGCTGATTTTTATGTTTTTCATTATATTTCTCTATATTGGTAATTTTGTCAAAAGGGCATATATTATTTTTAATAAATAATTATTGAATTAATTTTATGATTCTTTTAAAATTTCATGACAGATTCTCTTATGGGAAGAAAATCTAAAAAAAAAAGTAAAGGAAAAGCTTTTATTGATATAGTCAAAAATCAGCATACAAAAGTCAATTGTATTTCTATATATGAGAAATGAACAACCTGAAAATGAACATAAGAGAACAATTTCATTCATAATA